TCAAACGGTTAAAGTCAACAATTAATGACCATTAAACGATTTCTGCCAATTATCAATCACCATCAAACGATTTTACCCAACAATCAATGACCATCAAACCATTTCTGCCAATTATCAATCACCATCAAACGATTTAAGTCAACAATCAATGACCATCAAACGATTTCTGCCAATTATTAATCACCATCAAACGATTTAAGTTAACAATCAATGACCATCAAACGATTTCTCTAAATTATCAATCACCATCAAACGATTTAAGTCAACAATCAATGACCATCAAACGATTTCTGCCAATTATCAATCTCCATAAAACGATTTAAGTCAACAATCAATGACCATCAAACGATTTAAGTCAACAATCAATCACCATCAAACGATTTCTGTTAATTATCAATCACCATCAAACGATTTAAGTCAACAATCAATGACCATCAAACCATTTTTGCCAATTATCAATCACCATTAAACGATTTTACCCAACAATCAATGACCGTCAAACGATTTCTGCCAATAATCAATCACCATCAAACGATTTAAGTCAACAATCAATGACCATCAAACGATTTCTGCCAATTATTAATCACCATCAAACGATTTAAGTTAACAATCAATGACCATCAAACGATTTCTCTTAATTTTCATTCACCATCAAACGGTTTAAGTCAACAATTAATGACCATTAAACGATTTCTGCCAATTATCAATCACCATCAAACGATTTTACCTAACAAGCAATGACCATCAAATCATTTCTGCCAATTATCAATCACTATCAAACGGTTTAAGTCAACATTTAATGACCATTAAACGATTTCTGCCAATTATCAATCACCATCAAACGATTTTACCTAACAAGCAATGACCATCAAATCATTTCTGCCAATTATCAATCACCATCAAACGATTTAAGTCAACAATCAATTACCATCAAACGATTTCTCTTAATTATCAATCACCATCAAACGGTTCAAATCAACAATTAATGACCATCAAACGATTTCTGCCAATTATCAATGACCATCAAACAATTTCTGCCAATTATTAATCACCATAAAACGGTTTAAGTCAACAATCAATGACAATCAAACGATTTCTGCCAATTATGTATCACCATCAAACGATTTAAGTTAACAATCAATGACCATCAAACGATTTCTCTTAATTATCAATCACCATCAAACGATTTAAGTCAACAATCAATGACCATCAAACGATTTCTCTTAATTATCATTCACCATCAAACGGTTAAAGTCAACAATTAATGACCATTAAACGATTTCTGCCAATTATCAATCACCATCAAACGATTTTACCCAACAATCAATGACCATCAAACCATTTCTGCCAATTATCAATCACCATCAAACGATTTAAGTCAACAATCAATAACCATCAAACCATTTCTGCCAATAATCAATCACCATCAAACGATTTAAGTCAACAATCAATGACCATCAAACGATTTCTGCCAATTATTAATCACCATCAAACGATTTAAGTCAACAAACGATTTCTGCCAATTATCAATCACCATCAAACGATTTAAGTCAACAATCAATGACCATCAAACGATTTCTGCCAATTATTAATCACCATCAAACGATTTAAGTTAACAATCAATGACCATCAAACGATTTCTCTTAATTTTCATTCACCATCAAACGGTTTAAGTCAACAATTAATGACCATTAAACGATTTCTGCCAATTATCAATCACCATCAAACGATTTTACCTAACAAGCAATGACCATCAAACCATTTCTGCCAATTATCAATCACCATCAAACGATTTAAGTCAACAATCAATGACCATCAAACGATTTCTCTAAATTATCAATCACCATCAAACGATTTAAGTCAACAATCAATGACCATCAAACGATTTCTGCCAATTATCAATCTCCATCAAACGATTTAAGTCAACAATCAATGACCATCAAACGATTTAAGTCAACAATCAATCACCATCAAACGATTTCTGTTAATTATCAATCACCATCAAACGATTTAAGTCAACAATCAATGACCATCAAACCATTTTTGCCAATTATCAATCACCATCAAACGATTTTACCCAACAATCAATGACCGTCAAACGATTTCTGCCAATAATCAATCACCATCTAACGATTTAAGTCAACAATCAATGACCATCAAACGATTTCTGCCAATTATTAATCACCATCAAACGATTTAAGTTAACAATCAATGACCATCAAACGATTTCTCTTAATTTTCATTCACCATCAAACGGTTTAAGTCAACAATTAATGACCATTAAACGATTTCTGCCAATTATCAATCACCATCAAACGATTTTACCTAACAAGCAATGACCATCAAACGATTTCTGCCAATTATTAATCACCATCAAACGATTTAAGTCAACAATCAATGGCCATCAGACGATTTCTGCCAATTATTAATCACCATCAAACGATTTAAGTCAACAATCAATGACCATCAGACGATTTCTGCCAATTATTAATCACCATCAAACGATTTAAGTCAACAATCAATGACCGTCAAACGATTTCTGCCAATTATCAATCACCATCAAACGATTTAAGTCAACAATCAATGACCATAAAATGATTTGTGACAATTATCAATCGCCATCAAACGATTTTACCCAACAATCAATGACCATCAAACAATTTCTGCCAATTATTAATCACCATAAAACGGTTTAAGTCAACAATCAATGACAATCAAACGATTTCTGCCAATTATTAATCACCATCATACGATTTAAGTTAACAATCAATGACCATAAAACGATTTCTCTTAATTATCAATCACCATCAAACGATTTAAGTCAACAATCAATGACCATCAAACGATTTCTCTTAATTATCATTCACCATCAAACGGTTAAAGTCAACAATTAATGACCATTAAACGATTTCTGCCAATTATCAATCACCATCAAACGATTTTACCCAACAATCAATGACCATCAAACCATTTCTGCCAATTATCAATCACCATCAAACGATTTAAGTCAACAATCAATGACCATCAAACCATTTCTGCCAATTATCAATCACCATCAAACGATTTAAGTCAACAATCAATGACCATCAAACGATTTCTCTAAATTATCAATCACCATCAAACGATTTAAGTCAACAATCAATGACCATCAAACGATTTCTGCCAATTATCAATCACCATCAAACGATTTAAGTCAACAATCAATGACCATCAAACGGTTTCTCTTATTTATCAATCACCATCAAACGATTTCTGCCAATTATCAATCACTATCAAACGATTTAAGTCAACAATCAATGACCATCAAACGTTTTCTGCCAATTATCAATCACCATCAAACGATTTTACCCAACAATCAATGGCCATCAAACGATTTCTGCCAATTATCAATCACCATCAAACGATTTTACCCAACAATCAATGACCATCAAACGATTTCTGCCAATTATTAATCACCATCAAACGATTTAAGTTAACAATCAATGACCATCAAACGATTTCTCTTAATTATCAATCACCATCAAACGATTTAAGTCAACAATCAATGACCATCAAACGATTTCTTTTAATTATCATTCACCATTAAACGGTTTAAGTCAACAATTAATGACCATCAAACGATTTCTGCTAATTATCAATCACCATCAAACGATTTAAGTCAACAATCAATGACCATCAAACGATTTAAGTCAACAATCAATCACCATCAAACGATTTCTCTTAATTATCAATCACCTTTAAACGATTTAAGTCAACAATCAATGACCATCAAACCATTTCTGCCAATTATCAATCACCATCAAACGATTTAAGTCAACAATCAATGACCATCAAACGATTTCTCTTAATTATCAATCACCATCAAACGATTTAAGTCAACAATCAATGACCATCAAACGATTTCTCTTATTTATCAATCACCATCAATCGTCCAACAATGGATTGGAATTAAAAAAATTAAGAATTGTTTAAATTTTTAAAATCTAGCAACATCGTTGTTGATAAATTAATCCTTGTGGAATAATTTGTATTAATAATTTTGAAAGGAGGTAGATTAATTGTATGATTTATAATTAAAATTTTGAAGTAATTAATTTTGTTTCTATAATTGAATTCAGTTTCTGTTATTTGAATATGCCGCGAGAGAAAGCTTTGCGCATGCGCATTTGGAGCGATTGCTAATAAGGTGCCATCATCCATCTTGGCTTTCCCCCACCCAACTTGAATAACCTTATGGATAGATGTTTTTAATAATGTTAATATTTAATATTATTGCAACCATCAAACGTTCAGAACTGACTATCAATCACTATCAAACGACCAACAAACGTTTACTACTGAAAAAATAGGATTTTATTAAAATTGGGGTGCACCGTGAAATTAGCACACGAATATTTGATGTTTGTTTATTGTTTCTAATTATTACCATCAAACGTTGGGTATCAACTATCAATCACTATCAAACGACCAACAAACGTTTAGAAAAAAAGAAAATTGTTTTTGATAAAGTTGTGGTGCTAACTTCACGGGCATAGCGGAACCAACTAGATTGAGGTTATATTTGCTTCTGACCATTACAAGTGCCTACGTCATGAAATGTAACAAACGTTGTGTAGCAAACTGGACAAGTTGTATACACATGTAACATACATAGCAAACTTAGGTAACATACATGAAGTATGATACTTACCAATCTCTGGATACTCCTACTTAGGAAGTACACCCGAAAAGGGGAAGAAATTAAAATTCTGATATAAAAATTCTGTAATATAGAAAATCAGTTTAATGAAGATTCTGCAAAAAAATAATAATTCAAACAAATAAAATTCTTTCTCTTATAATTTTCTCAAGAGCTTTACAATAAATAATTAATTATTTATATTTTGAATATTTATTCTTTAGCGCGTAAATATATCGTTGTTTCGAGATATCGAAAAGTTATTCGAGCGAGAGTCGCTCCCATAGAAACGATTGCAGAGGCAGCCTTAAAATCCAATATGGCGATTAGTCACAAAAAACACGTGCGTTTTGATGACACAAATGTAACCTCATTTTTTCAATTTCAATTTTACACTAGAGTTTTTGTTTTTTTTATAAATATTAAAATAATATAAAATGGTGGCTCCAAAAAGAGCTCAGAAAAGAAAAGAAACCTCTGAATTATCTAAGAAAATTGTCGAAGTAATTCAAAACGAAGATGAAAGTACTTCTGAGGTATGGATATTTTTATTTATAAATTTTAAAGTTTATATATTCCTTAAGTATTTTTCGATATTTTTAATTTTTATTATATTAATAAATAAAATTTATATGTTTCTTATAAATTTTCATTCCTTTAACTTTTTTGTATTTTACAATTCAATTAGCAGATTAATTTTCTTATATATGTGCGCCAAAAAATATGATAACATAACCTTATTTATATTTCAATTATTCCACGTGAATTTAAATCGTAATATTCTAATATTTTCTACTTAATTGTCTTTTCTTTTAATCAATAAATTTAATTGTTGAAAAAAAAATTTAATTTAAAACCTTTGAAAATTTAATTATTTCTAAAAATGTCAACTTTAACTCTTCAAAAATTAAATTATTTAAAAGCACTTTTCAATTAAAAAATTTTGAAATTCAATTTTTTCTGTAATTTCTAATAAATTCTTCATAAACAGAAATCACAAAAAATGTTAATTATAAATCACTTAAAGTTCAATGAATTTCAAAAATCTGAATTGTAAATCTTTGAAAATGCAATTACTTTTAAAAAAATGTTATTTAAAATTATTTGACAAATTATTTTCAATTGTGTAAAATTTAATTATTGTTTGAAATTTTACATAATTTTTTGAAATTTAATTTACCCCAACTGACTCTAAATAAAATAAAAACTTAATTAAAATTTTAAAAATTTAAGTCTTTGATTCTGTAATATTGAAAATAAATTTTCTTGATAATATTCCTATTGAATTATTCTTATTAACGAATTAATAAAATAGATTTAATATCTAATAACATTAATAATTTAAAGTAAAATATTTATTAACTAATTAAATTTAAAAAATTCGAATTTTTCGTTATTTTTTCGAATGTAAATCGACTAAAACGACTTTATTGCGCCTTAAATTCAATCTGAAATTTGTTAAAAATTTAATTTCTGGAAAATATATAAAAATTTTATCTTTATAAAAAACGAAAATATACCCAAAAATTCAAATTAAAAATTTTTGTTATTACTATAATTTTTCCATGAGGAAGCAATATTTGTAAAATATTTTTAAGAAACTAAAATTTGAAAAGATTAAAAATAGATTATTTTAATGCTGTTAAAAAAATATTTTAATATTAAATTTAATTTTAAATACTATTACTAATTGGAATTATTATTAACATTAAGTATGAAATTTTAGGCCAAATATTATTGTTGAATATATTTTTTTTAAATACCTAAACATATGTTTATTTTTTCAACATTCTCAAAATTATTGAAAATATTATTTGGATTAAAATTTTATATATATATTTAAATTAGCATTTTTTTCTTTTTTAATATAACAATAATAGTAATGTCAAATATTACAATTATTAATTATTACGAATTAATTAATATTAAAGATTTGTAGTTTATTATCTATTATATATTTTATAGTAATTTATTCTTATATAAGTAATAGAAAATTTTTCTTACAAAATATTATTTAAAAATTATAATTATTTATTTTTTCATAATTAAAGTATTATTTAGACTTGAAAAATTAGAAAAAAACTTTTAAAAATTGATAATTATTGTAGTTTTTATTAATTATTAAATTTTTTTTACTTACAGAAACGTAACATTGTTTTAAATGAATAAAATTAATTAGTAGGAAAATCAAAATAAATAGAATTTAACCACGAAGTTAAAAATTAATCGTTTATATTTATCTCAAATGACTATTTGTATTTATTTTTTCTTCAATTTTTTTTATTAGGATTCAGGTACCGAAGATTTATTGGCATCGGAGGTAAATGATGAAGACGACAGTAGCGATGAGGAAGCAGTGGACGTTGATAAAATTCCTGATTCAGATACAGAACAAGATCAAGTTGTTTTTGAGTCTGAGGACGATGTCAGCGAATTGGAATTAGAAAACAATTCCGATGACGATGAAGTCAGTGAATCGGAATTAGAATCCGATTCCGATGAAGAAGATGACGAGAACGATGACGACGACGATGATGATGATGAGGAAGAGGAGGAGGAAGAAAATGATGACAATTACCTGGAAGGTAGTGAATTAGAATTTGAATCTGATTCCGATGATCTAAATATTAAAAATAAATCCGAATCATCTTCATCGGAGGCCGAAGAAAAATCTACAAAAGGCAAAAAAGTAAATAAACAAAATCAATCTCCAAAATTGAAAAATACGAAAAACAAATTAAAATCCACCGATGTGAAAAATAAAGAACTAAAATCGGCGAAAGGAAAAGAATCGAAATTAGGAAAAAAGAAAATAAAAACATTTAAAACGAAATCAGAAGATTCGAATGGAGGGAAAATTTCCAATAAATTGGAAATTACAGAAAATGACGGTAAAATTCAGATAAATACTCGATATATTGTTTTTTTTATTATTAATTTTTAATTAATTTTGGTTTATTTTTTTTAAATATATAAATTGTTGCAGATAAAAGTATAAAAGAAAGTTCATCGAATCAGGATGAATATGAATTTGATAGTTCGGACGAGGAAGATATTCGCAATACAGTTGGTAATATACCAATGAAATGGTACGATGATTACAAACATATAGGTTACAATTGGGATGGGCAGAAAATTTTAAAACCAGAAAAAGGCGATCAACTTGATAATTTCTTGAAACGAATGGAGGATCCCGATTTTTGGCGAACCATTAAAGATCCACAAACGGGACAGGATGTTGTATTGAGCGAGGCGGACATTGAATTAATAACTCGAATTCAAAAGCAAAAAGTTCCCAACTCACAATTTGACGAATATGCCGTAAGTATTTTTCTTTGGCATACATTTTTTTATTATTATTATTATTGACAGAGTTTTTAGAAAAAAGGGAAAATTTTTAAGCATGCCCATAGAATCGAATTTTTATTTAATTTACTTGATATCTAATTAAATTTTAGTTTAACGAAAATTTGGGTTTAATGAACTTTTTTTAAATTTAAATAAATTGTTATTTACCAGAATTAACATTTCATTTTCATTTTATTGACTTTTCTTACAGCACAATTTTCATTTAATCGAATTGTTGTTTCATTGAATTTTCTCTTAAACGAATTTTTGTGTCATTAAATTTGCATTCAACAGAATTTTAATTTAACATATATAGGATATTCTTACAATTTTATTTTTGAATAAATAATGTAATGTAAATTTAATTTTCTAAACATAAATTTTTTAAACTAAAAGAATTATAAATTAAATATATTTATATTAATATATTTACCGTAAATAAATAAATTATTTAATTATAATCACACAAATTTAAGTTAATATTTTCTTAATTTTATTCGAACTTTCGCTATGACAATATTTTAAAAATTAAATATTGTAAAAATCATTTGTTTTAATTTTATTTTTTCAATCAATTTGTTTTTAATAAATTTCATTTATTTTCAAAGTGTAATATGTTTTAAATTCAATTAGATATTATTTTTTAAATTCTATTTTATAAATTCATTAGGATTAAAACTTTAATTGAGTTTGTAAATTCGAGTAAATTATAAGAATTGAGTAATTTAAAAATATTTTTTTTCTAACTTAATTACCCTACTTTCATTTTCAAATATTTTTTAAATTTAATTATTCTTTTTTTTTATTACTCAATTTTGAAATGCGATAAAAAATATTTTCCAAAAAAAGCGATTTTCACAGCAAAAATTGTGAAATTAGTTTAAAATTGTTTTTTAACATAAGAAATATAAAAAAACGTGTTTTAAACTAATGTAGGTATATGTTTTCTATGCTCAAAACTTTCAAAAAATAGAGAATTTAAGTTATAATTCTTTAAATATTTGAATTTCATTGCTAATAAATTAGGAAAGAGTGAGACGTGATATTTGAATTTACAAAAAAATAAACATAATAATTTCATTGTTTCAAGTATCTTATCTTTCTAAAATTATTATAAATAAACATTTTAACAAAGAAGAAAATCATTAAAAGTAGTTAAATTTTTTAATAAAATTTAAGAAATTATTATTAATCAAAATAAAACATTTATTTTTTATTTGTTCGAAGATAAAGGAAACATATAATTTTGTTTTGAGCAAATAAAAAAATAGTTATTTTTAAACATAAATAAAGGATTACTTAATAATTAATTAATAATTTAAGATCAGGAATATTTATTTATTTTCTTTTGTTTCTAAATGTAATTTTAATTAAAGTCAAAATATTTTTTAAAAAAGTTGAATGATTTATAAAATGTCAATAATTCCCGTTAAAAAGTTTGAATAATTATAACTTATTTTAAGAATATATCAATACATAAATAAAAATTTTAAACTTAAATTATCCAAATAGAATTGATTTATAAACAAATTATTTTTTAAATTTAATTGTTTTTAAATGAAAGTTATTTCTTAAACACAATTTGTTTTATATAAAATTATTTTTCAAATTCAATATATTTGTACTTTTATTGCTCGATTAACAAAATTTAATAATGAAAAAAAATTTCAGAATAGCGATTTTTATACATAACACTGCAAAATTAGTTAAAACATTTATTTTAACCTAAAAAGAATTCAAAACCTGTTTTTTCTTTTTAATTAATTAAATATTTTCTATGTAGAAAACACACAAAATTAGAGAATTTAAGCTAAAATTTAGAGAATTAGAAGTTACAAAAGAAATGGATAAAAAAAATTAACTTGTAAAGTGAATGAATTGTTTAATAATGAAATGTAAAGGAATTGAAAATAATTTCAAAATAGAAGATTTTTTTTTACTATTTATTCAAAATAAAGTTGAGAGAATATTCTATGCCGAATTTAATCTAATTTGTTATTTTACGAAATTTTTTTTTAATTATTTTAAACAAATTTTTATTTATATTAATTTACATAATAGAATTTTTTTGATAAAATTTTTATTTAATTAAATTTACATTTGATTGACTTTAACCGAATTGTAATTCTTTTTTTTTTAAATATCATGAAAATTGTGTTTCTTGTATTTCGTGAAAATATGGAAAACACAGGGAAATTTGCAATAAAAAATTTCTAGTTGTATTTATTTCTTTTTTTAGTGTTAAAATCTTTTTTTTTTCATAAATTTACAGCCGTGGGTCGAATGGTTCACGTCAGAAGTGATGAAAACGCCATTAAGAAAATTCCCCGAGCACAAAAGATCATTTGTACCATCTAAAGTTGAGGCGAAAAAAGTTTCAAAATTAGTGCATGCATTAAAAATGGGTTGGATAAAATCAACCGAACAAATGGAAAAAGAACGTCAACAATCAAATAATGATCCACAATTTTATATGCTTTGGCAAACTGACGATCAGGCCGAGGAGATGCGTCGCATTCATAAACATATTGCAGCGCCAAAAAGATTTTTACCCGGTCATGCCGAGAGTTATAATCCACCGGCTGAATATTTATTTGACGCTAAAGAAATGAAGGAATTTAATAAATATAAAAATACACCGTGGAAGAGGAAATTACATTTCATTCCACAGAAATTTGAATCATTGAGACATGTGCCGGCATATCCGAAATATATTAAAGAAAGATTTCAACGTTGTTTGGATCTTTATCTTTGTCCAAGAGCAATAAAAATGAAATTAACAATTCAACCGGAAGATTTAGTCCCACAATTACCGAGTCCCAAGGATTTGCAACCATTCCCAACGACAATGTCAATGGTTTTTACTGGACACACGGATATGGTGAGGAGTATCAGTTCCGAATGGAAGGGACAATATTTTGCCTCTGGTGGCGATGACATGACTCTGAGAGGTAAGATTTTCCTTTTTTATTTAGAAAAAAACAAATTATTTAATTTTAACTTAAAATTACTTTTTTTATTTAATTTTTCCTTTCTGCCATTCAATGGCTTTTCGGAACACTCAGTTTAAATGCAACATTGATGTGCCTCAAGTTCTGAACTTTCAAATGAACGAAATCATCTGATTTGGAATATACATTTTTTTAAATTACTATAGCAATAAAAAATACAAAATTGTTAAACATTTAATAAATTATTTATTAATTCTTGCATACGGAAAGAAATATTTTATAATCAAATTTGTAGTCAAAAAAGTTGCAAATAAATTTTTCGTACATTTGAAAGTTCACAGGCCTCGAATTATAGGATTTTTTCTACTTTTTTTTTACATTTTTATCTTCTTTATTTCAATTATTTAACAAATTTTTAACTAAAATTCTTCTCTAAATTAATTATTTTCGATAAATCTAATAAAAATTCTTCACAAATTCAATTATCGTAAACTATTTTTTAATTGAAAATTTTATGAAATTCAATAATTGTTTAAAATTTTTTAAAATCAGCAAATAAAATTATTCAAAAATTTAAATTCAAAATCGCTTGTAATTCAATTATTTTTAAAAATTTTAATTTAAAACCTTCTAAAATTTTCCCTCTAAAACTTTCTGAAATTTAATAATTTTCAACTATAACTCTTCCAAAATTAAATTATTTCTAATGATTTTTATAATATTCTTTGAAAATTCAATTATCTAAAAGCATTTTTCAATTAAAAACTTTTGAAATTTAATTTTTGTATGTAAATTTCTAATAAATTTTTCAGCAACATAAATCACCGAAAATTTAAAACAAAAATCACTTGAATTTCATTTATTTTCAAAAATCTGAATTATAAATCTTTAAATATTCAATTACTTTTAAAAGATTTTATTTTAAATTATTTGTTAAATTATTAAAATTCTCTAAACTAATATTAATATATTTTGAAATATTAAAAATATCTCGGTTCGACACAATCGGTTCAAATTCAATTTTAAGGAGAAAAATTCAAATCTAAAGAATTAAGTGTGATGTAAAAAATTTGTTTGTCAACAAAAATTCATTCAATTTTTTTAACTTTCAAAAAACAACTCCACGTGTTTTACTACCTGTTATTAAAACAAAAATATGTACAAAATACTTTAAAAAAATTTATTAAAAGAATTAAGTTTTTTAAAAATTTACAGTTTAAATTTTAAATTGAAATTTTTTATAAATTTCAATTACTCAACACTTTTTTTTACAAATTTCGAAGATTTAAAAAAAAAAATTTTTAATAAATTGAATTTTTGTAGAGATGTTAAGATTTTTAGAATTAATTGAATTTCAAGAGATTTTAAAATGATATTTTTTGTTTCTAAGAGCTGTAATTAAAGTTTTTAATAATAATTAAATATTTGAACAATTTAAAAAAAAAATTTTTTACAATTTTTTATTTTTAGAACTTTTTTTTTAATAAATTCTCTATCAATTAAATTTTTTAGTCATAATTTTGAAATTTACCCCGAATTACGTTTTTTTCGATAATTCGCAATTTTTTAAAATCAGATTTGATATTTTATTGTTTTGATAAATTTTCATCCAAATTTTTCTAAAGTAAGAAATGTTTTTTGAAAAATTGCAGTTTGGGAAATCGCAACTGGACGTTGCGTAAAAGTTGTTCCTTGTGGTGGAGTTATTAGAAGCATCGCTTGGTGTCCAAATCAAGCGATTTCCTTAATTGCTGTCGCAGCCGATAGAAAAGTTCTCTTAATTAATCCTGGAGTTGGAGATCACGTTATAACAAAAAAGACAGATCAACTTCTTGAAATCATTCCTCAAACTGATGTTATAGGTGAATCATTATTTTTTTATTTTATTGCTATTATTATTATTATTATTTTATTACTATTAAAATCTTTTTAATTATTATTATTAACAGTACCTCTTATTATTTTTATATTTAATATAAATTTATCAATTTCTCAGAGTTATTTTTGGTGAAAATTAAATAAAAAAGAAACTCCAAATTTTAAACATTTTGACGGCAACAACGTCGAAATTATTTTTATTAAATTGAAAATTGTTTATACAGTCGCGGCCAATATAAAATCGACAGTCCAATGGGAACAGGCTGAAGGTGAAGAGAAAAATAATGGAATCAGATTGATTTTAAATCATTTTAAAATGGTAAAACAAGTCACTTGGCATGGCAAGGGTGATTATTTTGCAACAGTTATGCCCGATGGACAAAATCGATCGGTTTTAATAAATCAATTGTCAAAAAGACGATCTCAACTTCCATTTAGAAGACCCAAGGGTTTAATTCAATGTGTTCTATTCCATCCGATAAGACCCTTTTTATTTGTGGCTGTAAGTTGATTATTTTTTTTACCCCGCCTCATATTTTAATAAATTTTTTTTCTTTTTTTTGTAAATTTCATTTTATTAACAATTTTTTTTTTTAATTTAGTGAAAGTAAAATTAGAAAATGAAAGAAAGTTATTTTTTATTAATTTTTAACGATTTTCTTTTTTAGACACAGCGAAATGTTCGAATTTACGATCTCGTGAAACAAGAAATGGTGAAAAAATTACTTTCAAACTCACAATGGATTTCATCAATGGCCATGCATCCAGGTAAAAATTATTTTACTTTTTTCCCGTGTGAAAATAATTTATATACTTTTTTTTTAATTCATGAATCAGTTATTTAACTTAGAATGAAATAAACGAAAACTAACTGATAAGTTTCATAAAACAGAGAAAAAAACGAAATTATCTGAAGAAATACAATTTTCAAACGTAATTTATTTGGAAATTAGCCAGAAAAATGGAAAATATAGCAAAGTTTTATGACATCTTTTTTAGTAATTTTTCATTATATAAAAAATAGAAAAATGAATTGTATTTTTTTTTCTTGGATTTCTCTAAATGAAAAAAGAAAATTTGTGAATTTTTTTTACAGGCGGCGACAATATTTTAGTTGGAACATATGATCGAAAAGTTATTTGGTTTGATTTGGATTTGAGTACAAAACCATATCAGACATTGAGATTACATGGAACTGGTGTAAGAAATGTTGCTTTCCACAAACGATATCCACTTTTTGCTTCAGGAGCCGATGACAGAAGTCTCATAGTCTGTCATGGAATGGTCTACAAGTAAGTTGTCAATTTTTTATTCTCTTTTTTTCTTTCTTTTCACCACACAAATGTGAATTTTAATTTTAACTCTTGATCAATTAAAAAAAATTGATTAATTAACTAGCATACAATACATTTAAATAAATGGTATTAATTCTATACAAATAAATTCTACAAAAAAAAGAAAACTCTACACATTAGAATAAAATAAATTAAAAAGTTTCATTAAATTTTTTCAATTTTATAAAATTTATTTTTACACAATATAAAAAAATTATAATTATGATTAAATTATTAATATTATAATTGTTTCGTTACCTTAATTTTTAAATCTACGTAGTTAAAATTAAACATCAGAACATTCTACACAATTAAATAAATTTTATTATAAATAAATTTAGAAATGTTCTATGCAAATAAATTTTAAAGGAAAAACTTTACACATTAAAATGAAAGAAATTAAATATTGAAATTTTTTTTTAATTCCACATCAAACACTACATTTATACTTTTCAAACACTACATATTTTCCAAATTTTCAATTCAAAATCTTTTAAAATTTAATAATTAACAACAAATTTAACTGCTAAACTTCGAAAATTTAATTAATTAAACCTTTTTTTTAAATCCTCCAAAACTCATTTATTGTTAAAAATTTGTAAAAAAAAAAAAAAAAAAAAATTCAGCAATTCAAATTTACAAAACATTCTAATTTCAAATCTTCTGAAATTCAATTTTATTTCTAAAAATCCTAATAGAAACAACCTATTCGAAAATTTAAGTATTTTAAAATTTTTATCGAAAATTGTTTGTCAAATCAATAATTTTTTATAAATTTAATAATTGTTGAAAAATTTAATTATTTAAAAACTTATTTTAAATTTTTTATTGTTTAAAAAAATTTTTTTAGTTTTTTAAAATTTAATTATTGTCTTAAATGTGCATAAAAAAAATTTAGGAGTAAGAATTTACAAAAAATTACAATTTAAAATCGCTTGAAATTCAATTATTTCTAAAAATGTAACCTTTTAATCTTCAAAAATTCAATTATTTTGATACATTTTCAAAAGTTTTGGACGTTTTTATGTGTTAATAATGGTAATAAAAATGTGTCGATTTGTTGTTGGAAATAAAAAAATTAAGTAAGATAATTGTTAATTAATTCAATGAATTTTGACAACAAAAATTTTTTTTACATCACATTTAATTCTTTGGATTTTAATTTTTACTTTCAATTTTGAATTTTAACCGTTTATCTTATACTAAGATTTTTATAGTATTTTATTTAAATTTAATGTATTTATAAATTTTTTGGAATTTTGAATAATTTAAGGATTTTGTTTTAAAATTTACAGTGATTTAAATACTTTTAAAGTAAAAAAAATAAATTCAAGTAGAATTCAATCTTTTTAAGTGTCGCTGGACACTTTGATTTTTGACACATGAACAATGTTAGGTACCTTATAATAGCAAATCTGGGTTTAGATTTTTCCAGCACTTTTTTTAAAATTCCCTGACATTTCCCTAACTTTTGTCAATCCTAAATAATAATAAATAAATACTTGTTTAATAAAATTTTGTTAAATTAAATTTAAAAAATTTTAAATTGAATTTTTCAAATTAAATGTTATTCAACTATGTCTTTTTTCTTTTATTTCAGCGATCTTTTGAAAAATCCATTAATCGTTCCTTTAAAACGATTAAGTAATCATGAGTCATTTAATGATTTTGGAATTCTTGATGTCATGTTTCATCCAATTCAGCCGTGGGTTTTCTCTGCGGGCGCTGATTCAACGATACGAATGTATACATAGAATTTGTTTAAAATAACAAAAAAAAAAAAAAAGATTCTCGAGAATGAGAATTGTGAGTTAAATATATATAAATATATTTTCTTTTTCTGTAAATAAATAAAACTCCAATCGATAATTTTGAAGTTTTATTTTTATTATAAAATTTGATTGTCTTGTTTTACATATTAAAATAAATAAATCAATAAAAAGGACAAAAAAAGACACGTTATTGAGATATATATTTTCAAGCTTTTTTATTGCATTTTTTCATTGTGAGTTAAATTATTTTTTTTCGAATCACTTTCATTTTTTGTTTGTTTGTTCTTTTATTAGTTTTGCGAACATAATAATTTCACGAAAATTAATTCATTACATGTATATTAAATTAATAATATATATATATATTAATATATATAACTAAATTACTAATTTTCATTCATTGTAAAATTAATTGATTTAAAAAAATTTTGTAATACTATTTTTGGAAATTTTATATTATATTTTATAGGTAACTATAATAATTTTACAATTAATTGATTATAAAGTTTTTTTATAATTCACTAATTAATTATAATAAAAAAAAATCTAATGAACGTCGGTGAAGTTCACAACGTTTATATCAACGATTTCAAAGAAAAAATATATTTCTATGTAAATTATTATAATTTTTTGTGTGTAAACATTTTTTTGCATCGTTTTATAATCAACAATTTATTTTTGTAAGAAAAATTTTCTGGGGTTAAACATTTTATTATATTCCGCGAGAAAAATATTTTTTTTTCAATCGTTAATCATAAATGTTATGAACTTGATTTGAAGTGGGAATACAAAATAATAGTAAAATTGTAACTTGAGTAAATACAAAGAGTAGCTAGATGTGTAAAAACAATTAGAAATTGCGCGATAAGAAAGCTTTTGTTTCACAAATAAAAAACGTCAAATATAAAAAATATTTCATACTTAAAAAACCAAGTAAAAATTCGCTATATATAAGTATATATATATTTTTTTTCTCTCTCTCTCTCTCTTTCTTTACAATCAAGTAAAGAGCAGTGTGCGATTAAAAATATTTTCTAGAAAAGCAAAATATTGTGCATATCTAATTATTATTATTATTATTAATTAAATAAAGTCGAAGACCTATTCGGAAAAAAATCACAGTAAAATACGGATTATTTCTACATTTACAATATAAAAATAATAAAAAAAAGAATATTATTAATCCGTATATTGTTTAACTTTCAAATCGTGAAAACGATAATATGATAATATGACAATTTTAATTATTGTCAGTTAAAAACGAAAAAAAAATTAACAAAAAATTGAAAAACAATTTTAAAAAAAGTTTGAACCATTGACATAAATTTTGAAATGGGATAAATTTTTAACCCAGGAGCAGTAAATATGGTATCTAGATACCCCAGCAAAATTCAAATTTCGAAAATTTTTCGTTTTTGCAAGTTTTTTTAAACTTATTTTTATTTTATGAAAAAATCAATGAAACTATTGTTTTCCTTACTAAAAAAACCAATAAAAATCACTATATATAATTAGTTTTATGTCAAATAGAAACCTTTTTACACAAGTTTCAAGTTGGGGTGTCTAGACACCCCAGTTACCCTTTAGAGTGTGAGATAATTCATATACTCCTTCTAGGGTTAAAAGAAGCAAAATTTTTTGTAATAATCTTACTGATATCTATTATTATCATTATTTATTATTATTATTATTACCTATTTACTATTATTAGAATTTTTATTATTATTATTTATTGTTTTTTATTATTATTATCAGCATTATTATAATGCATTTAAATAAATATTTTTTCTTATCTAATCCAAAATTATAAATAGGTATAATTAATAATTTTATTCAAAGTTGAATTCTGTTTTGTAAAAAAAGAAATTAAATTTATGCCAATGGATCGTACCTTATTATAATATAACTGTTTTATCCATTAATATAACCTCAAAATGAACAAGAGTTTAAAAATTATTTCCAAATTAGAAAATACATATTTAAATGAAAAATTTTATATATTTATTATAGAATTCTTAAAATGACGAATTTTCATTTAACAGAAATTGCAAATAATCCAATCAACATAACATAAAAAAAAAGATTTCGGCGCGATTTTTAAAATTGACAAATCACAATTTTCGCAATAATTGCTGATTGGTCTAATTTTAAAAGTCGCGCTGAAATCTTTTTTTTATAGGTTATATTTGTTCGGACATTTTCAATTTCGGTCAAATGGAAATTCGGGGTTTTGAGAATTTTCATTTAACTAAAATCGTAAATAACCGAACTAATACAATAAAAAAAAAAAGATTTCGTCACTATTTTTAAAATTGACAAATCACAATTTTCTCGCTAATTGCTGATTGGTCGAATTTTAAAAGTCGCGCCGAAATCATTTTTGTTTTTGTACGTTATATTTGTTTAACCATTTGCAATTTCGATGAAATGAAAATTCGTCGTTCCAAAGAATTTCTATATCAATTATAATAATTCGTGTAAAATTGAAGATATGATAATACAGAGTGAATTATCATAAATTCTTTTGCGGGAAAACAAAGTTTGAGGTTACATTTAAATTAGATCAACAGAAAAAGGACAAACAAATTAAACAAAAACTAACAATCGCGTTTGTTAATTTAAAGGCGAATGTCCCAAACATTGCCACTCGGGTTCACCGCACTCGCACGTACGTCCCGCGTGTCTCACCTGAAAAACCGTGACAAGTTTTCTACTATCGTAAAATCGACATGTAATATGAAGATCGTGAATTAAAAATGTGTAAAATTGATTGCCCCAACGTTGCCTTAAATACACCGACCGTGGATCTTCACGTAAAACATTTTCAATTGCCACCTTCTCCTCGTCAGCTTTATCGTCGAGAATCTCGTTCAGTTGCGCTAGGGCACGTTCATTAAAAACCACCGACAATGTTGATGTTTGTGGCCTTGAAATCCACTCGGGAACACGAATTTCCGTTGCTGTTGTTGTTGCTGCTGTTGCTGCTGCTACTGTTGTCGTCGCCGTTGTAGTTGTAGCGATAGAAGACAATGCAATTGGTTCAACAATAGCCGAATTTCCCGTTACATTTTGTATATTCGGCACTGTTTGCGAAGGCGTGAGAATTGGCGATTCAAAACCTTCTTCACCATCGGGTGCTTCGCGTACTCCCATTCTTATTGGTGAATTGTCTAATCTCGCATTTAAAGCACGTCGTCGAATTAAATCCAAATCCGTGCCACAAACAGTACTTGGTCCATCCGCACCCTCAAGAAGTCGTGAATTTCGCCAAGTTCGATCATCACCACCACTGCGTCGATTGTCCTCATCACTTTCCAAATTAATATTACGAATTCTCTCCAATGTTTCGCCATTCTCCACTTCCGATGTTCTCGATGAACTCTCATTCTCCGAATTCATTAACGACACATGATTATTTCTCGCGATATTCTCCTGTTGTGGACGTAAATACTGTAGAATTGTATCGGGTACATCGTTCTCAAAATTGCCATAGTCTTGAAATTCTTGTGCCTGTAGTCGTAGGGCAATTTCCTCGTCACGCGAAACATCAGAGTCCTCTTCATTAACAACTGATTCTTCAGATCGTGAATTATTGGCAATTGTAACAACATCGACATTCTCGTCTTGTGAATTATTTATTGTTATTGGCTCGATCAGTGTATCAGTGACGCCATTTGGTAACGATTCAAGGCTCGTTAATCGGGTATTTAATTTCTCCGCGTGTAATGGATTGTCGTATTGTGGAATGTAGGGTTTAATGTCGAGGACTGGTGTTTGATCGACCATATCGACACCATCGAAGAAAATTGTGTTGTTCTCAATTTTTGTGATTTTCACAAGACTCAGACCAATTGGACATGGTCGATGGGGTGAACGTGTGGAGAAAACACCTGTTCTCGCGCCATTTAAACGTGGTGGCGCAACTTTGGCGCGAATGTGAGTCGATTCGTTTCGATGAAAATGGAAGAGAATCCTGAAATTGAGAATATGAAAAGGAAAATATTATAATGTTTGATTTATTATTTTTTTTGTAAAAAGAATTTTTTGTTTTGTAAAAAAAGAAAATTTTTGTTTCTTTACTTTCTATGTTTGAAGATGTTTTTTATTCATTAAGAAAATGGATGGTCTCAAAATTTTCACAGGTAGTGTAATTTAAAACAACTTTAAAGCATTTTGGTTAAGGAAAATATATATTTAGATTTTGCCCTATTTTTTCCCTTTTTTCAAAAAAATTTCCCCTATTCCCCTTTTTTTTTTAGTAAATTTTATGATGTGAAGCCTATTATCCTCTCTTAATATTAACATTCGCCTTAATTCTTGACAACACAACTGATTGCAGATTAAATTGAATTAGATTTGATTAATTTCGGATTCACTAGTTACACAAATCGGAAAAATTTCGGACTTAACCGGACTAATTCCAGATGACAGTTTCGGATTAATTACAGATTAGTCCGGAATTTCAACCAGAGAATTTCAGGATTGCCACGAAAGACCAATTTAAAAATTTCATGACTTCTTCAGGTTTTCAAAAGCATTTTTAAAAAAATTCCAGATCCAAATATAAACCTATTTTGATGAATTTTTAGCCACTCACGCCAAAAAATACAAAATATTTCAATTAAATTAACAATAAAATATTCTGTAAATTAATTTCTTGCAAAAAACCGCATAATGAATTCATTCAAATTAAAAATAATGATTTTTTTTACATGTTACAATGATCGAATTTCTATTTAACAAGATTTAATAAAATAAAATTCATAATGAATGGAATTTTCTTACCGAAGAATTTTTTGTTTAATTGATTTTTCATTTAATGAAATTTTTATTTATCTGATTTTTCATATTTATATCTACTTTAGCGAATTTTTATTTAACGAAATTTTTTATTAACAAAAAATTTATATATATAACCGAATATTCATAGATATTTATTCAGGGTGTCTAACAACTGTTAGGAAAAAAATTCCCTGTTTTTCCCTGACCTAAATTACACTAAAAATTTTTTATTTTTATCAAATAAAATTTATTTTGATACAATTAAATCATTAACCTGTCGATTATCCACTAATTTCATATGTATTTGAACCAAATAAATAATGTTTCGTAAAAAATAAAATATTTAAGTGAAATAAATAAACTAATTGGAGAAAATTTTAATTCCAACTAATTCTTATTTAACAGAATTCTCATTTAAGAAAAATTCTACTTAGTTCTTTTTTTGTCAATTTTTATAGACATAAATTTCGTTAAATTGAAATTCTATTAATTTAAAATTTTTAAAAAGTATTAGAAAAAATGCTTTATAAGAGTTCTGGTAAATAGAAATTCTTTTAAATCGAATTTTAGTTAAATGTAAATTCTTTGATATGAAAATTTTACATAATATAAAATCCACTTTATACAATTTTGCTAAATAGAAATTTGATAATTTAATATTCGACGCCCTAAAAAATTTTATAACTTAAATGTGGCTATTAGCATTAAATAATAAATTATTCGTATTAATGAATAATTTACTTTATTTGAAGTTGAACCGATAAAATAAAATTGCATCAATTAGTTACTTTAATTTATTTATAAAAAATTCCAGAAAATTAAAGAAATTCCCTGACTTTTCCCTGATTTTTCCATGACCATTTAAATTCCCTGACTATCTTTGACCGTCAGAAACCCTGTTATTTCAAAGAATTTCTAATTAATGGAATTTTTATTTAATCGAATTTTCACTTATCTGAATTCTTATTTAGCACAACTATTATTTAGCCAAATTTTTATTTAAAATAATTTTCAATTAATAGAATTAATTCAATAATAAAATTCTCTTACATAATAACTAAATGAGTCCTTCATAAATTGAGTCAAATAATTAAAAAAAAATTTAAATAAATATATTTTCAAAAATTATTTAAAATTAAATTTATTTCATGTACTACTTTATCATATAAAAACTCAATAACAAACCAAGTATTTGTGATAAATAAAATAGAATTATTTATTAAGGATAATTCATGAAAATATTTTTAAAAAATTTTATTTAGAATATTTCAAAATTTAACTGAGAAAAATTTTCAAGATCTTCAAATTAAAAAAAATTTAAGATTCTTTTTTCTCAATCATTTTTTAAATTTTATTTATTTGTTTATTTATTTAAAGTAAATTTACAGATAAATTTTTTAAGCTGGAAGAATTTTTAAGATTTTAACTCATAAAAATTTTAAACAGGAATCTAACGCAAAAATAAATTTTTAAAAATTATTTAAAACTAATTTTTTTGTTTATGTCCTGCTTTATCATATAAAAATTCAATAAATAAATTTTATTTTATCTCAAAGAAGTCGTATAATCCGAGGCCTGTTGAATTATTATCAATTTATGAATTCCACTTTATAAAATTTTGATGAATAAAAAATTTAAAATTTGAACTACATAATGAAATTACTGAAATAATGAACTAATGAACCGTATTATGTAAGAGAACATTTTTTACCAATAGAGACTGAGATTTAAAAACTTCATGTTGATTTCAACCTTAAGCACTAAATTTAAAACAGAAAAGTTGTAATGTCAACTTGGAAACTTGAGATTTTCTTGATTCAAATACAGGAAATTAAATTTTCAGAACGATATTTCATAAAATTCCCTGACATTTCCAGATTTTCCATGACTAAAAAAATTTCCATGACAATTCCAGTTTTTCCAGGACTGTGTCAACCCTGAATTTCTTTCGTACGGCAGAATTAGGTTAAGGGGCCTCTATATAGAATTTAAAAAAAATATATAAAAATTTTTTTATTGGCTTAAAAAATCCTTTGTTACTTGTAGAATAAGAGGAAAAAGGTTTTATATCGATTCGAACATTTTTTTTATTGAAATTTCGCGTTCTTTTCCAAACCGTGTCAGCTGCTCCAAATAAACAACCACCTGCGGTAAGTTGCTACCTGCTCGTCAGATTCAGCATAATTCCTTACTATATTCCACTTCTAACTTTTCTAGTTCACTAATAGATATTTATGGCGCTGGGATAAAAGACTAATGGTAAACAAATTTTAATTCCTAAATTTTTTAGGTTTTCCGATTTGAAAATATATTGACGAAAGTTTAAACTCATTTTTCTCAAAGCATGATTTTTCAAATCTGCAATTAGGCCATTTGATGATTGTCACAATCGAATTTAGGTCAATTATGAATTAAGTCAATTCTATATTTGGAGAAAATTCATGCATCTCCTAAAATTAATCAATTTCTCATCCAACCTATCTATCAACAAAAATTACCAAAAAATATTGATCATTGTTAAGGTTAAATTCAAATTTTTTATATTTATTTAATAGATTGGAATAATATAAAGATTTAATAAATTAATGGGAAAAAAAAATTCTCACCACATGTGTGAAAATTCATGTAATCCTTCGAGTGCATGTTCAGGATTATTCAGGACGGAATTAAAGAGTGTCAATTTTCCAGGAACACGTTCACATATTCCAGATTGTCGTGGAGTTCCTCTTTTACTGGGAAACCATGTCGATATCACTCCAATTGATTTTAATTTTAAAACATCCTCTGATTCATGACTTGTTCCCGGTTCTATTTCACGGGAATTTTCTTGATTTGATGAAACTAGAGAAACTCCATCTGAGCATAGTCCAAGAAGACGTTTTATATTATCCACATCTTTTTCATGGATATAACGTAAACTTTTCAGTTGTTGTCTGCATTTCAAAACAAACAAAAAATACATCTAAATAACAGTATTTAGAAAAAAAAAATTTATTATATTTATTTACAAAAAAAAATCTTTATCTTTAGTTTGCTTTTTAGTTATTTTTAATTTAATTTATAGAAAAATTAAAACAATGTTGATTAATTTTTTTTTATTTTCAATTAAATCGAAATTAATATTTTTATTTTTAAAACTATTTATTTATAGATATGTGAATTTTTTATTTAAATACTTCAAATTATTTATTGCTATACTTTAAATTTATTTTTTTTTGTTGGATCAAAGTCTCGATTTTTTTTCAATTATTTTTACGTTAATAAAATTAGAATATTTCATTTTAATTGTTATAAATTAACGAAAAATTTGTTATCAACAGGCCTCGGATTGTATTTATTTCAATTATTTAACAAATTTTTAACGAAAATTTTTTTGTAAATTAATTATTTTAAAAATTTCATGATATTCAACAATTGTTTACAATTACAAAAAAAATCAAATAAAATTACCAAAAATTTTAATTTAAAATCTTTTAAAATATGTAATTATTTTTAAAATTTACCATCTAAAACTTTTTGATATTTAATAATTTCAATTACAATATTTCCGAAATTCAATTATTTTTAATTATTTTTTTTTATATTCATCAAAAATTCAATAATATCAAATCATTTTTCAATTAAAAAATTTTGAAGTTCAATTTATGTCTTTAAATTTTAATAAATTATTCAGCAATATAGACATCACCAAAAAATTTCTACTTAAAATCACTTGAATTCAATTATTTTCAAAAAATTTCAATATAAAACCTTCTAAAATTTAATTTTCTTTTATTTCTAAAAATTTCAACCCTAACTCTTCCAAAATTCAATTATTTTTAATAATTTTAATATTTCTTTAAAAATTCTATTATTTAAAAAAGTTTCAAATAAAAACTCTAAAATTGAATTAATGTTGTCAGAATTTTTTTAAAAAGAAATTTGTCCTACTTAATTAAAATATGAAAAATTTGCGTCTTCGATTCTGAAATATTCGAAATAAATTTGATAATATTCCTATTGAATTATTCTTATTGAGGAATTAATAAAATGAATTTAATATCTAATATCATTAATATTATTTAAAATACCTAAAATACTTATTAACTAATTGAATTCAATTAAATAAAAAAAAATCGACTTCTTCGCCTTTTTTTTAAATGTAAATCAAGTAAAACGACTTTTTTGCGCCTTAAAATCGATCCGTGGCCTGTATCAATTACAAGATTAATAAAAATACCTTCTGATAATTGATTTATTTATTTCAAATCTTAAATGGGTTCACGAATAAAATTAACATAAACATTTGTATAATTATATGAAAATAAACAGATAATATTAAAAAATTTAAAAATTTAATAATTTATTTTTAACAAAAAACAAAATTATATAATATTTTTTTTAAAAATAATTATTGTTGCCACATACAACAATAACTTAATTTATATTCGTAAATTATGAAAAAGGTAACAAAATTGAAATAGTTTTAGGAATCTAGCGAGTAATTTACCTTTTTTATTAAAAAAATTTTCTTAATAAATAAATTATAATTCTTAAAATAAAAGTAGAATATCAGGGACAAAATAAAAAATAAAGTTCAAGGAAAGAAATCAATAAAGAAAAAGTAAGGATTTCAGAAAAATAAATGAAAAAAAAAATTCGAAAAAATTGAAAAAAATATTAAAAATTCCCAAAAAAAGGAGAATTTAGAGAAAAAATTATATTAAATTTCAACTAATCACAAATAATTTAATATTTAATTAAAACGTCAAAAAAAAACTAATTTCGCTTTATATTAAATAAATTATTATTTGTTTTCAAATTTTATAAATCGAAAATAAAATAAAATCATAGTAAAATGACAATTTAACTGACTTAAAATTTAGTCAATAATAATATAAAATTAACAATAATAAAACATCAATTTCACTAATTTTGTTTATCAAACATTTATAAAAAAAATATAACAACAATAAACATTTATCTCCATTGAAAAATGTATACAAAATAAAAATAATAAACATTTATTACAAAAAGTACATTTTCTATAGGTTATGTTCGACTCAAAAATGAAAAACTCTTGGCAATATTAATATAAAAAAAAAATCGTCTTAAAAATATGAAATAAAATTTATATAAATATACTAACCTGAGATTATTAATTTCTTTTCGAGCTGTTGATAATTGATCAAAGAGAAATTTTGGATCACGATCCAAATTTTGACAGTTTGTTTCCATGATGTCTCTATATCACTTTTTACATAAACGCAGGTTATGTTATGTTATGTTTTATTTGTGCGCGTCTCTATTTTACCAACAGTCGCACTATTTTACCATCTCTCAACACTGGCACCTGCATTTTGTTTCCCCCCTCTTTGTTTAACAAATACATTTCTATTATTTACCATCTCACTTCAAGGGTCGATCATCTTGTTTTCTTGCGGTTGTGTGTGTTGTGCTCGAATGCATTCGGAAAAATTATTATACTATTCCCATGCAATCCCGCATTGCGAATATATAAAAATACATGACTATATATTTCTTGCTCGTATTGTTATACAATAATCAGATAAGTAAATTGTGACGCGTTATAAATTTTGCGGAAAAGATTAAATAAATTAAATTTAACGCGCGGCTTTTAAGTGTCTAACTCTTTTTTCGGTTTGTTTAGAAGCGCAAATATATATAACGTTTCTCAGACTATTTGAAAAGAATGAAAGTGAAAACGACCGTGAAATCGATCTAAAAATACTTCGCTTAGTGGAAAGTGTATATATATATGTGTATATATATTTATTTTTGTGAGGGTGTCGAATGCCGCATTAAAAAGTGAAAATTTTTTTTTAGGTTATATTTAACCTATTGGTTTTTGTGTCTGTTATTTTTTTTTTTGAGAGGATTTTTCAATGTTAAATGTGTGCGCTTTTAGTGGGAGAAATTCTGCTCTACCTTTCAGAAAAAACGGAGCGTCTTTAGAGTGATATTTTACCTCCCTCGCAAGTTTAATGGAATTTATAATTTTTGTAATAGAAAGAAAAGAATGAAAAAGTGAATTTTATTTCGTGAGTAACATTTTATTTGTTTGTTTTTGTTTTGGATAAACAATTTGATTATTCTTTTAACAAAATAATTTTTAATATTTTAAGTATATTATATATTATTATATTTATATTTTTTAATTTTACTGTTTTTTATATTATTTAAATATGTTGATTTAGTTTTTTTTATTCATGACTATTGTTTACTCTAAAATTTTATTCAATTTTAAAAAGAATTACTAGTTATAAATTAGTTGTTTTTTTTTGTAAATTAATTTTTTCAATCTACTCATTTAAATTATTTTGTAAATTATTTTTCTCTTCGGAAAATTTTCTTTTATATTTTTGTAAACAATTTTGTTTGCTTTTTTTTAAATTTCTTTTGGTTTTCTTTCTGTAAATCCTGTAAAAGTTCTTTATTTTTTACAATGTTCTCTTTTCTGTGAAATTTTACATAAATAATACGTTTTTTCTTCTTTTTTTTTTGTTAAATTTAAATAATAATTTTTTCACTTATAATTTGTTTAAATTTTATATTTTCGTAAATTTATTTTTTCATATTTTTGTAAAATTATTTTTTTGTTAATAGGTACGATTTTTTTTATCTTTTCTTTATAAAATTTATTATTTGTTTTTTTTTTTTAAATGAAATTTTGTTATGATTTAAAAACTATGTTTATTTTAAAAATAAATTTTTGTCTAACATCAAAGTTATTATTTATTTCTATTGTATTATTATAAATAAATTGCTGTGTGTAATTTTTAGTTTCTTTTCGGAGTAATTTTTGCACGAAAGACAATAGATATTATACATATAATTATTTTAATTGTTTGTAAAAATAAATTAAAATAATAATATTTCTTTTTCTTCTAGATTTTTTTTTATGAAAATAATTTTTTTGTATAATTTTGCAATTTACGAATTTATGGCTTAATAAGCAAATTTCTTTTTTTGTCAATTTTTTTTTAATTGTTAATTAATTGGTTGGTAAATAAAATTTTTATTTTATGTAAGTAATTTATTTCTAAATTTCTTTGTAATAATAATATTTTTGGTATTCGTTTAAATCTTCGTTTTTTGTATATTCAATTTTACTTCAAATTTTTTTTATTTTCAAAAATAGATTTCATTGTTTGTAAGTTATTACTTAAATAAACTTAATAATTTTAATGTACAACATTTATTTTTGCAATTTTTTTTGTTTCGTTAATAAAATTGAATTTACAGATTTAATGAAATAATATGAGTGCCTAATAAAATATAAAAACAAAAAACAAAAAAAAACTGAAAAATGTCTTCAGCGGAAATTGATGAACTTTTATCAGGACCACTAGTGACATGGGTAATTAATAATTAAATATTATTAAAAATTTTTAATATACAAGAAAAGAAATTGTAAAAGTTTAATATATAATTTATTTTTTTTCCAAATAGTTCATTAGTTGTCTCGATGATTCAAATTCACTGACAAATTATGAAGATTTAGTTGATGGTGTTTTACTTCACAGTGTTTTTCTACAAATGTGAGTTTTATTATTTTTTTTTGTCCTAGAGAGTAAAATATCCAATTTTAATCCAGTTAACCTTTTTCTAATCCTAGAAAATAAAATAGCTACTTTTAATCCTAGAAACAAAAATATTCTTTTTCTATACTTAAATTAAATATTGTGATTTATTTAAAAAAAAAAAATAAATAAATTTCAGAGATCCAGAACCATTACACGATGGAGTTATTCCATCATTGGGAAATAATTCAAAAAGAATAAAAAATTTGGAAATTATTGTTGGCAATATGAAGCAATTTTATGAAGAAGAACTTGGACATCTTCTTCTTCGATTACCAGACACGTTAAATTTGGGAAAAGAGCCAGAATCATATATTGGCGATATGAAATTATTTCTTCTTTTGTTGCTTGGCTGCGCGGTTCAATGTCCGAATAAAGAAAAATTCATTACTAAAATAAAAGCACTCGATGTCGACACGCAACTCGCAATTGTTGAATGTATCAAGCAGGTAATTTATTTATTATTCATTTATTCAATTAATTTAAAATTCTTTTCTATATATATATATATATATATATATATATATATATATATATATATATATATATATTATTTTTACCGTTTAATTTGAATTATGAAATGTTTTTCTCCAACAAATGTAATATTTTTAAAAATTATAGTTATAATTAAAATAAAAAAAAAAAACTATTAAAAAACGTGTAACTTAAATACAAAATATAAAAATTTCTTCTCTTATTGTATTTTATGTATTTAAAAATTTTTTATTTTCTACTATAAAAACATAATTTTATTTTTACGTTATTATTTGTTTAATATTAATATAGATTGTTTAAAACAAATCATTAATTAAATAGATATAAAAATAATTTTAAATTGAATTCTATCAATTTTTAATAAATTTTCAAGTATGTGACATTTATTCATTTTTAGGTAACTGATTATCAGGATATTGTAATCACACAGGATTCAATGGAAAACGTAAATATGGGAAATGTTTTTCTGGAAATTAAGAAATTGATTCAGGAGAGAAATCTTTATCGTGAGGTATTTACCAAAAAAAAAGAATATTTTTAATTAAATAAAAAGAAAAGAAAAAATAATAGTTATAATTGCAAATTTTTAACTAAAATTTTTCTGTAAATTAATTATTTTTAAAAATTTATGAAATTCAACAATTATTTACAATTAAAAAAAAATCAAATAAAATCACCAAAAATTTCTATTTAAAACCTTTTACAATTTGATTATTTTTAGAATTTTTCATTTAAAAAAAATTGGAAAAAGGTTAGGAAAAAGTCAGGGAATTTCTTTAATTTAATTTCAAAAATCTAAATTGTAAATCATCGAAAATTCAATTGCTTTTAAAAAATGTTATCTAAAATGATTTGATAAATTATTTTCAATTCTTTAAAATTTAACGAAATCTTTTGAAATTTAATTATTTCTAAAAATTTCAACTGCAACTTCCAAAGTTCAATTATTTTTAATAATGTTAATTTTTTTTTAAAAATTCAATTATTTAAAAAAGTTACAATTAAAAACTCTAAAATTGAATTATTGTTGTCAGAGTTTTTTTTTAGTTTGTGAAATTTAATTAAAATTTAAAAAATTTACGTCTTTGATTCTGAAATATTTGAAATAAATTTTCTTGATAATATTTCTATAGAATTATTCTTATTAAGAAATTAATAAAATGGATTTATTATCTAATAACATCAATTATTTAAAGTAAATTACTTATTATTAATTCAATTTAATTAAAACAAAAATATCGACTTTTTCGACTTTTTTGGAATGTAAATCAACTAAAACGACTTCTTTTGCGCCTTAAAGTCGATCCGGGGTCTGTTTATTTAAAAAATTTAATTTTTGAAAAATTATATAAAATTATTGATTTGGCGACGAATTTTACATAAAAATTTATAAATACTTAAATTTGCGAATAGTTTCTATTAGGATTTTTAGATTTAATTGAATTTCAGAAGATTTGAAATTGGAATTTTTTGTAAATAAAAATTGCCGAAGATTTTTTTTTTTACAATTTTTTCACAATAATTGAGTTGTAGAGAATGTTTAATTGAAATTTTTTGCAAATAATTGAAATTTCGAATAATTTTTGTTAAAATTTGTTTAATTAATTAAATTTTCAAAATTTAGAAGTTAAACTTTATGCTCATGATTAAATTTTAAAAGAAATTTGAAAATGTCAGGGAAAAACATAAAATATTGTCTGGAAGTCAGGGAAAATCATAATGGAAAATTTGTGGCAACCCTGAATAGAAAATATTAATGAAAATTGTTTTTAAAAAAATAATAATTATCCAAATTATTTAAGAATTTTTTGTGTTCAATTAAAAAAAAAATGAATTATCAAAATATTTTATTTTCTCATTTATTTAGAAATGGAGAAATGTCTCGGTTAATGAAATTGGTGAACAGAATGATTCAACGATAAGCACAGAGGGTGAAGATTTAAATAAATCACAACAATCCAATTCAACATCAAAATCAGAAAGGGAGGAAAATCATCATTACGCTGTGGAATTGGCAGATTGGAAATCTAAAGTTCGAAAACAACGACAAGAATTGTACGTCTTTTTTCTTTTAATTCAAACGCTTATTATTTTATTTATTTTTTTTTTAATTTTTTCAATTATTGATATTTTGAAAGTTTTTTAAATTACAAAATTATTTGTTTATGCAAATTTTATTTATTATTTTTTTTATACTTTACAAAACTTAATTTCTCATTCAATGTATTTGAAATTTTCAGTATTATTTGTATATTTTTTTCTAGTTTTTATTTCTAAATTTTAAAATTATTAATGAAATCCAAATTTTGGATTTTTGATAAATTATAATTATTGATTCTTAATTATTAGCGAATTAACTTTAATTAAAATTGATTAATTTTGTGTTTTTATTTGTTTGTTTTTTTAATAAAAGGGAGGAGAAAACGGAAGCTTTACTCGAATGTAAGGAAGAATTGGAACACAATAAAATGTTACTTTCGAAATTCAAACAGGAGGTGAGGTGATATTTAAATAAACAAATTTTTGAACAAATAATTTAAAAAATTTAAATTAAATTACTGAATTACGAAAATAAAATTTAAATTAAATTACAGAATTACAAAAATTAATTTAAAATTAAATTTCAGAATTATGAAAATAAAAATTGAAAAATAAACAAGTAAAGTATATTGTTTCTTAATAATGAAAATTTTTCTTTAGTTGAATAATTTAAATTTAATTTTAAATTAAAGTAATTAAATCTAAAATTTAAGTTTCAGTTTGCCAATAATTACTGCAAATTTTTCGATTACTCAAAAAAAAAAATTAAACACAAAAATGATCTTAATTTTTTTTTCTTTTTCTCACCACATTTTCGGTGATGATTTTAATTTAAACGATATAAATGACAAAATATTTTTAATTTGATTTTAAATTTGTTTCGAAATTTTAGAATCAAGAACTAGTCCTCGAAGCAAGAACGGCAAAATCTTATCGAGATGAGCTTGATGCAGTAATTGAGAGAGCAGAAAGAGCAGATCGTTTAGAAATGGAAGTTGCACGATATCGTGAAAAATTGACGGATATCGAATTTTATAAAACCCGAATCGAGGAACTTCGCGATGATAATAAGTAAGAATTATTTATTATTTAATGAAAAAAAGAAAGTAAGATGTTAAAAATATTTTTCATTCACTGCTTATTATGTAATGAAAAGTTATTTTTTTGTTGAATTTTTCTTTAGAAAAATGAAAGAAAGAAAAAAAATGTTGGTGCAATAAATAAAAATTATTTTCACTGTTTTTCTCAAATTGTAAACATTAATTCTAAATTTTTTCATTCTGACATTAAAAATATTTTCAGAATATTAATGGAAACCCGAGAAATGTTTGAGGAACAATTAAATTCGTCGAGAAAACGAGCTGATAAAGTTCTGGAGCTTGAAGCTGAGATTATAAAATGCAAACAGCTCATCAACGATATGGCATTGGTAAATAAAGAATTTATACTTATATTATAAGTAGCTTGAAAGATTTTAAACAAATTATTCTGTGATATTAAATTATTATTTTTTGAAAGACTAATTACTAATTTACAATTATATTTTTTAATAATAACTTTTTAATTAATTTAAATTATCTAAGGAATTTAATGTGAAACAAATACGTAAAAAATATTTAGAAACTGTTAATAATTAACAATAATTTATATTTATCTTACAAATAATTAAATTAATTAATTAATGGAATTTTTTAAAATGTAAGGAACGCGCGGCTGATAAAGAAAAATATCAGGAACTTTACGAGGAAAACACTCATTTGAAACGATTAACAAAAGCTGCAAACGATGCAACTATGACTGAATCTGTCAGTGATTCCGAAGAGCCAGGTATATAGTGAATTAGAAAAAAATTCTTATTTTCAAAAAAAGAAATTAAAAATATTTACAGAAATTTGATTCAAAATTCAATTAAAATAGTTCGTTAAATTTATTTTAACTAAAGTAATAAATAACAAAATTTGTTATTTTTTGTACTTTTTCTTAAAATTAAACATAAGTGTAATTTTTTTTTTTATTAAAATTTATATTTTTCTATTTCGTTCTAGTTAAAATGTCAAACAAAAACAAACAATTTCTATTTTCAGTAATAAACGATAATCCACTATCGGAACAATTGACATCTAATGCTCAGACACGTGCCTTAAAATTGGAATTAGAAAATCGACGCCTATTAACTGTGATTGAATCATTAAAAGAAAATTCTTTTCACGAAAGTTCATCACGTGTTTTAGAATTGGAAAAAGAGAAGAAAAAACTTTCATTAAAAGTTGAATCGCTCACTGATAATTGTGAACGAATAACACAACAAAATTCAGATTTAGAACTTGTTTGTAAGCAAGCGCTTGAAGAGAATAAAAAATTGCAATCGTCATTGAAAAATCAAAAAATCTCCTTTGAAAAGCAACAGCAAGATTTACAGGGACAACATACAAAATTAATTGATATGGAGAAAAATTATGAGACTGCGGCAAATGAGAAAAAAAGAATTCAATCACTATTGGAAAGTGTACAAAGACGAGCCGATGATATTGAACGTTCATTGGAAAGTGCAAATCAAAAATTAGAACAATTTCGCGAAATTGAAAGTCAATCGCAAAAAATTCATACAAAATGTCTTGAATTAGAGGGAAAAGTTTGTGGATTAGAAAAAGAGAGAGATACGGCGCAACGGGATGTTCACAAATGTCGAGAGGCTCTTGAAGTAAATTTTCTTTTTCAATAATTTATTTTCTTTTATTTTTATTTATCAATTTATCTTTATTTTTGTACATATTTTTCTAATGAGTCATTTTTTATTTAAAAATTAATTATATAAATTTAGGTTTTCTGTTCTTTTATTAAATTAATTAAATAAATAAATTATTTACTTTTTACTATTTAAATAATTAAATTATTGAAATAATAATAATAAAAATTGCGATTTTTTTCGGTTTCGTTACTTGTGTATTAAAATTACTGTAATTTATTATTTTCTTTTGTTTTTACTTATCTTTTGTTTCCTGTTATTTAGTTTCAAAAATTGAAATTTTTATTTTCAGGAAAAAGACGTGGCACTTGATCAGGCAACAAATACGATAGAAGTTTTGGAAGGAAAAGTAACGCAACTTGAGCAAGAAATTGATAATTCAACTTCTCAAATTTTACGGTAAGAAATATTTTTGAATACCTATTGATAAAAAAATTTTTTTTAACTAATGCAAATAAGAGAAAGTAAAGTAAAGGAAATGAAAAATAATTAATTATAAAAAATTATTTTGCAGATTACAGGAAATTGAAAGATCGAGCAAAGAATTGGATTCAAGGGCAGCGATTGATCGTGAAACTTTGGAAACATTACAATCGAATTTGGTTGCAGAAAAATTGAATACACAACAATTGTATACAATTTTGGAAAAATTGGGACTCGAGGGCGAAGCATTGTTATCACTTCCGCTCGATTGTATTGTTGAAAGGTAAAATTTTTCAACTGTTTTTAAAAATTTTAAATAAATAAAATCTATTTATTTATTTATTTCGCAGTAATTTTTTAATTCTACTGATTTGAATTCATTTCTCTTTTGTAGTAAATTTTTAATGTAGAAAATCTTCAAATTTTTTTTCAAACCCGTTAAAGAAAATTGAATTTTATTCTAGAATTTTAATTGACATCCTGCAATAATATTGAAAAGAAAAAGAAAAATTTAAATAATTTAAAAAATTAATTTAATTTAATGATGCAATGAACAAATTTTTCTGATAATTTTGTCATTTTTTTAATAGAATTGCCGAAATACCAGAGGTTATTAATCGCATTAGAAAAGCAATTTCAGAAGAGATTTCTGAAAAGGAAAAAGTGAAAATTGAAGGTGTTACCATTGTAAAAGAAGATGAGGTGAAAAGTTCAACATTACAGGAGGAATTGAGAATTTTACAGGTGAGAGAGAAACATTTATTTTGATTTTTATGAGAAAGTAAATTTATTTTTAATTATATCTATTTATATTTTCTTAACTATTCTTCCAATTTTGAACCTTTTTTCATCTTTCGAGAAAATATTAAAATAAAATTTACAAATATTTATTTATTTGTTTATTTGTATGTTATTATCTGAGGCCTGTTATCGTGTTATTTTTGTAAACAAAAAAAGTACCTAAATAAATTTTGATAAATAAAATAAAATTCATTTTTCTTTTGAATTTTCGTTGAATTTAAAATTGATAAATTACAAAAATGTTTTGAGTCTATTTTATGAAAATAATGTGTACAATATATCAAATTTAAAAAAAAATTTCAATTATAGAAGGAACAAGAAAATCTTCAAACAAAATTAGTCACGAGTCAAGCGACATCGGAAAATCTTTTGGCCGAGAATGCAAAATTACAGGTTTATGTAACAACACTGGAATCTCAAAGTACATCGTTGACAACTCAACACACTGCATTGCAATTAGCGAATTCCCAATTGGTCGCAGAAAAAGAAGAGGTTTTTTTATTTTCTCTTTAATGTTTCTATGAATTTTCTCTTAAAACTTTTTCTCAATGTGAAAGGCTCCTTTAGAATATAAATACAAAAATTCACGCTCTCATTCGAAAAAATCAGAAACCTGATAAACACTTTAGAAAATTTTTTAATTCAATTGTTCTTTTTTAATTTTCCATGTATTTTATATTTATTTTAATTTTGTAATAATTTACGTGCTGTTTACATTGGAACTGTTTCAATTAAATTTAATTTTAAAACCCTTGTCAATATAGTCTCAAAAATACGAAAATTTTAATCCGCTTTATCCGCTTACGTCCTTTAAATATTAAATGAATATTTAATTATTTTTATTTATTGATTTTTTAATTAAGTCAAAATTAATTTTTAATTTCGCAATTAATGAAAAATCACATTGAGAAAAATACTTACATTAAACAATTATTGGTTTCTTTTTTAAAGAATAATTGAATAAAAATTGAGATTAAGTAATAAATGTATAGAAAAAGTGCTTTTTCAATATTATTGTATTAAAAAAATATTAATTGTTTTTACAGCTTTTGAAAGAGCGAGGAGTTCAACAAAGAACACACACTCGATTAGTTCACGATCAAGTGACATTGCAATCGCTTCACGAACAATTAAGCAACGAATACGAGAATCTTCTACAGGAACGAGAAACATTAAAGGGAAATTTGAGGGATGTTAAAAATGAATCTCGAATATTGCGCGAAACATGCGAGAGACTCGAGGGAAAAACCAAAGCCTTACAAGCCGAACGTGACACATTAGTGACAAATGCCAAGAGTTTAAATAATTTAAGGGTCGAGCATTCAAAATTAAAGGTGAGAAATTGATTTTAAAAAAAGAACAAATTACAGAAAATTAATTATTCCATTTAAATATTAACAAAATCATAGTGACAATACCTGAAAATTCGATTTTTTTTGGTGAAAACCATGAAATAGTTAAAAAATATTTTTTTCTTTTTACGTCTATTGGGTAAAATATACAAAATTTTAAAAAATCATTTTTCTTTCATTGGAATATGCTGCTTAGAAACCTAAATTATGCATTTTAATGCTTTTGCAAATTGCAAATAATTTTGTTAATTAATATAATTTTTAATAAAGATCTTAAAACTATAGAATATTTTTGAAATGTATGCTTCTATGATTATAGTTCCTTTCTCTAATTATTATTATTTTCATTTTTATTATCTATTTATTATTAATGTTTTTCGAATAATAAAAGTTAGACGGGACTGGAAAATTTTTTTTTTAAATATGAAAATTTTAATACCTAATTTTTTTTTTTTTTAGGAGGACTTTAGAATTCTTTACACTAATGTCGAGCAATTGAAAATGGAATACAAAAGTCGACACGAGGATTATTTGAAGAATAAAACTGAGGCTCACACTTTAAATAAGAAATTAATGGAAATACAATCCGAATTGAGTACAAAAGACGAAAGATGTTCGAATTTGGAATTGCAAAACAGTAAATTAAATCAACGATGTGAGGTAAGATTTTTTATTTTTTTTTTATTATTATTTATTTATTTTATTATTTGTAAGAAAATCATAATTTTTATTATTATTATTTTTTGAAATTCTTTAGTTTAAATTTCCAGTGGATAGAATTTCAAAAAAAGACAAATTTTTCTATTTAAACGACTTTTAAATAAGTTAGAAAATTAATATTAAAATAAATTTTTAAAACAAAGAATTTTTATTAAGAGCATGTGGGCAAAGGACGTTTTTTTTTAAATTAATTAATTAAGGGGAGGCACCTCCTTTATTTTGAGTCCTTTACATTTTAATAATGGCAGAAAGTTATATTTTTTTTCTTGTGTCATTTGGGTCCTAAAAACATACAGAATGATCAAGAAAACAAAATTGACCATTTAAAAATTTTTTAAAATCCATACAAGAGATTCTGAAGAATCATTAAAAAAGCACGGAAAAAAGTGTCGATGAAAAAAAGTCAAAATTGGGAAAGAAGATAGATATTTAAAATATTAATTTTTTTAAGACTTAAAATTTTATTTTTTTTGAATAAGTGATTAAGATCTTTATATTGTGCACCGCACTCACATCCCAAGGGAAGATTCCACCGCATCCTAGCGAAGTGTTCCCCTGTACAAATATCCGAGGTCCGCAGCCTTGTTATAGTGTTAATATGTCGACATGAAGCTTCAATTCCTCTAAACCAAGGTCTTTTGGTTTTATAGTTAACTTTAATATAGTATTTGTTTCGAGAATGTTGAATGTCGGTATACGGCCAATTTAAGGTTTTCCACTATTCAAAATCCCGCTTTAATAAAGGAATAAAATCACGATAGGGGTACCCAAGAAGTTCCCAAAAGGCAAGTAGTCATTTCTTGGCCACAAAGTCTGCCTTTTCGTTCCCCTTAATTCCTATATGCGCAGGGCGCCAGAGAAATCGGACCATTGCACTCAAATTTATCAACTCTAAAGTTACTTTGAGTATTTTTTTAATAAATGGATGAGGATCCTTATTAAATATTCCCTAATCAAGGTCTTGTAAAAGTTTTCCGAGAATTAGAAATAATTAGAGTGTTGTCAATTTTCATTTGAATAGATTGCCTCAGGATGGATTTACATGATGTGAATAAACGCCTTCCTAGACATGCATGCCTTATCACGATAAGTATCCACCAATGATGAGAATTTCAGCAAGCCTATACCCCGCCTATATCGTTTATTAATTGAGTATTTCTCGGAAAATAATTGTAATTTTAGGATGAAAGGGTTCTGAGACCAAGCAAGATTTCGGAGCATGTGTCGTTTACTAATAATCAAACGCCTTAAGGCCAATGGTGACTGATTCACTTCAGACAACAGAATGCCAGTAGGAGTCGATTTCATCCAACCTAATAAGGCACGCAGAGCAGCTAATTGAACTCTATCTAACAGATCCAAATTAGACCGCCTGGCATTTGCGAAAAATTGGCAACCCCATTCCAGATGAGCCCTGATTAGATCCTTGTAGGTCAGGATCATTGAAGAAGGATTTGCTCCGCAGGATATTTTAGACATAGCCTTAAGAATATTAATAGTTCTCGGCGCTTTTTAAACTATACTCTCAATATGCTCTCTAAATCTGAATTAGCGACTATTCGCTTTGAATTAGTGATTATTCGCTTATTCTTAGCGCAGAGTATGCAGCTGGGAATAAGTGAATAATCACTCATTGAAAATTCGCTTATTACTTAGCGAATAGTCGCTATTTTAATCAGCCCAGAGTATGCAGCTACGAATAAGCGAATAGTCGCTGATTCAAATTTAGAGAGTGCGGAGACCAAGTCAATCTGCGATCCAGATGAATACCCAAATAGATTAGGTCATCCTGATTTTTAATTCTTGTACTTCCTATTCCTAGATATATATTTTTGAACCTATCCCGTGATTTTGAGAAAGTAGTTAGTTGTGACTTGCCTGGAGCCCTAACGGTTTCCTCTAGTAAACCTATCGCATCTTTTACATCCTTAGGTCTTACATGAGTCAGGCTTTATGAAGTGGCCCCCTGTTTTTCCAATATTCATAAAAATTAAAAGTAAATGTATTTTCTTGTAGTATTAACAGTATTAAATGATATCCTAAAAGGGTTTTAAAAAAATTTTTAAATTAAAAAAGTTATAAACAATTTAAGTTTTATGGACTGGGATTCCATAGAATAGCGTACTCTTCACAAAACTTTCAAACAATTTCTCGTATGCTGACCAGTAATTCAGCTTGAGGCTATCTACTATTCCCATGGTGGCGCTGGTCGCCGCTTTTGCAGAACAAATCATTTTTCTCGAAGCTTCGTTAAAATTACATTTTTTATCAAAAATAACACCTAGGTATTTGTAGTTGTCCGTGACTTTTATCTTTTCTTTTCCTAGCCCAAAACTTTTTAAGGCGCTAATCCTAGAGTCCGTTGTATTTCTAAAAATAACAATTTTTGTTTTACTGGCATTAATGATTAGGCCATTTTCGGTGCAATAAGTATTCAGTGCTTTGAGTTTTCTATTCAATTCCATGGGAGTATCTGCCAATAAGACCAGATCATTAGCATAGGCTTCCAACAATATTTCTTTACTGCTATTTACTGCTAAGCCCCTACATCCCTGGTCTATTAGGAAGCTCTCTATGTCACTGATATAGAGTGAGAACAAGAGAGGACTGAGCACTTCTCCCTGTAATAACCCTTGTATTACTTTTACATAGTCGGTGCATCCCTGTTCAGTACGAATAAATGCATATGCCTGTTCATAGAAGTTTTTCACAATGTTTATAAATTTAGAGCTTATCCCCAGTTTAGCTAACTTCCGCCACAACAGCTCATGAGGGACCGAGGGAAATGCCCCCTTAAAATCCGCAAAGATTGCATACACAACCCCCTTCGGGTGTCTTAAATGTATTTGGATTAGAGAAAGAAGAGTAAACAGGTTGTCCATGCACCCCCGGCCCCTCCTGAAGCCCGCCTGGAATTCTGGAATAGCTTCTCGTGAATCGCACCAAGAAGTTAATCTATCCGATAGAGATTGGGTAAAAATCTTCGCGTCATTATTCACGAGAGTGATTGGCCTAAAGTTGTCTGGGTTAGAAGCATCCCCTTTCTTATGAAACATTAATGTGGTTAATTTACCCCATGCTGTTGGTACTTTTTCTACTTCAATAATTTTATTAAACAAGTGATTGACTTGAAAATTGAAACTCAATTTCTTAAATATGTTCTCCACAGAGTGACGTAGGGTTTTTTTAATCGGTTAATTTAAAAAAAATTTAAGGACTTTTTTTAAGCCATATGAGACAAAGTGATTTTTTGGTAGTTCCAAGTATTCTCGGAAATGAGAAGAAATTTCGGGTTGAAATTTTGAGGAATGATAAAAAAGGGTTGAAGGAATTGGGTCGTTCTACTTATTTACTGTAATTGAATGCGAAATAATTTAAAAAAGTAATTAATAGTGAAGTTAATTGGTTTTTGTTATTTCTTTGGGCGGCCACTAACTCGATTCGGCGCTAGTTACTGGATCACTGATACATTCACGCGACATCTGTGTGTACCCCCGCCATATTGGCTTGAACTTTCGTTCAAAAATGGGAATTTCCAAACTTTTATTTTTAATACTTAAACGCAAAATTGTGCATTAAACCGAGAACAGCGCAATTCTTAATGCTATTCTATATCATATTTAATTTTCCAAATTTCAACCAAAAATTCTTTATCATTTTAGAGAAAACTTGGAAATACGATAACATGTTTTTTGCATGGGGGTCACGTGGGTATTTCCCACATGGCCTTAACTGACTACTTTGGTTCCGAAAACAAATTTTATTTTTCAAAATGCTACAGTTTGCATAAAAATTTTTTTTAATAAAAACGGCTACGTCTCTCTATGAAGAATATATTAAAGAAGTTTCACCTATTTCTCCCACTAGTGGGAGAAATGAGTATTTCCCCCACGATCACATGACACATTGAGGAATAGGTTATCTCAGACCTTTGCCGCCAGGCCCCCGAAATCGCATTTCCCGTGCAGGTATTAAAGAAAATAAATATTTCAATAACTAAATGTTATCTCTTATTCAAAACATGCTCTGATAAAGACTTTTCTTTCTTTAATATTTTATTCTAAAGTATTCGAGTAAATTGACGGAATATGATTATATAAATCAATCTAAAGCCTGGGAATCAATAAAATAATTAAAATTAAATACTTTATTTAGTATTAGGTTATTTTCTAAATTTATTTAGATAGAAAAAAAATTTTTGTTAAATTTTTAATGGTATTTTTGTGTTATTAAAGAAATATTATTTTTCAGGCATTATTGCAAATAAATTCTGGCATCGATAACGATCGACGAACACTAATGGAACACGCGAGCGCTCTTTTAAATCAATATCAAGATCTTTTTATGCACACACTAGAGGATAAGGAGCATTTTTACGCGGAGGAGAAAAGTTTTGCGTAAGTATTGAAAATTTATTTATTTATTTAATAAAAACAAGATCCTAGGGCTCAAAAGCCCACAAAGGAACTAAAATTCATTAACTAGTTAACAAGAATAATAATTCAATAAAATTAATATAATAGCAATTATAACAATATTAATATGTATTAATAACAAAATTTGAAAGAAAAAAAAAATTCTTTTTGCAATAGGTATGCAATGTTACTATTTCATTTCTTTGTTTGTAGAGACAAATTAAATCACATGAATAGACAAAAAGTGAAACTTGAAGAGAAAATAATGGAACACTATCGAAATATGGGCAGTTGTTCAACGAAAAAGTAAATTTCTTTTTTCTCACATAATTATTATTAAACACAATATTTAAGTTTTTTTATTAATTTTTTTTGTGGTACTTCTTTGCTTTAGTTTATTAAGAAAAATCTTTGTCTATTTTAGAAAAGGATTTGGCGCCAGTTTAGTGCGAAGAGTGAGAAAAGCAAGTTCCGATTTACTTAACAAGGTAAAAATTTTACGACATTAAGTAATTAATAAATATTTAGATAATTAATAATGATAATAATAATTAAATAAATACAAATAATTATTCAAAAACATTAAATTAAATTTTGTAAATGCAAACCTCAGATTATATGACTTTTTTCCGTCTTTTTTTTCAACTAATTTTAATAAAGTGCGATTTTTTCGACTTTTTTTTATATCTTTTTACAAAATGCAGATCATTTTCAGATCTTCTTTATTTCAATTATTTAACAATTTTTTAAATAAAATTCTTCTCTGAATTAAAATTACTTTCAATAATTTCAATTAAAAATTTTATGAAATTCAATAACTGTTTAAAATTTAAAAAAAATCAACTAATAAATTGTTAAAATTGCACTAATCTTAAAAATACTGTAATAAACATTAAAAAAAGTAATATTTAGAAAACAACAAGAGAATTTAAAAAACAAATTAAAAATAATAATAAAATATAATTTTTGGTATAGGTATAATAAATTATTTTGATTCTGTAAAGTTTAATTATTGACTGAAATTTAACAAAATCATTTGAAATTGAATTACTTTTGAAAACTTGAATTGTATATTTTTGGAAATTTCACTTATTCTAAACAAAACTTTATCTAAAATTAGGTAATTGATAAATTATTTTCCATTCTGTAAAATTTCATTATTGTCTGAAATTTAACATAATTTTTTGTAATTCAATTATTTCTAAAAAAAAATTCTACCATAACTCTTTCGAAAGTAAATTATTTTTTATAATTTTAATATTTTTAATAAATTTCAATTATTATTTTAAAAAAGTTTCAAATAAAAACTATAAAATTGAATTGTTGTCTGAATTTTTAAAGAAACTAGTTTAAATTTATTGATAATTTATTTCACATTTAAAATCTTATGCAATTTAATCATTAAAAAAAGTTAATTTAAAAATCTGTAAATCATTATTTTTGTTCGAAATTTTTTTTGACCAATAAAAAATTTTTCAATAAAAAATTTTAAAAATGGAACTTTAAGAATTTTGTTTAGAAATTTGCTCTGCAAATTCTACAAAGTTTTGAAAATTTGACCTAGTTCGATTATGAAATATTTGAAATAAATTTTCTTGATAATATTCTTATAGAATTATTCTTATTAATCAATTAGTAAAATAAATTTAATATCTTATAACATTAGTTATTTAAGGTTAAATATTTATTAACTAATTAAATTTAATTAAAATTAAAAAAATCGACTTTTTTGGAATGTAAATCGACTAAAACGACTTGTTTTGCTCCTTAAAGTTGATCCGAGGCCTGCGATTTTTGTTTACTAAAGAATTTTGCAACTTTGGAAGAGTCAGTTAAGCATCTTTTGTTTATTTTTAATTTTAGAATCGTCGGTCATGGGCGGAGGATTCTAAACAACCGGAAGGAAAACCCTGCGAATCTGAATCCGGAGGTAATGATTCTGACGCGAGCGCTGACGATCAACGATTAACAGGTTTGTTTCGTTTTTTTTTTAATTTATTAATTTAATATTAATTAGAATAGTAATTAATTAATTTAAAAAAAAATTATTAAAGTTTACAATTAATATCTTTAAAAAACTTGTCTAATTTTTTGTGAATATTTTAATAAAATAAAAATTATACACAATTTTTCTTTTTTGCAAATGTTTTTAAATATTATTACAAATTTTTAGGAACGAGAGAATCTGATCTTAACAGTGATCCTTTATCATTAGGACATCCAGGAACTCGAAGGACTGTTTATTACACTGATGACACACCACCAACTGCTCCATTAATGGTAAATAATAATTAATTTAATTATTTTTCGTATTTTTAAAAATGTTTCATTGAATTCACTTTAAAGTTGTTTCTTTATTAGGGCAATAAAAATCGTATGGAACATGATTTCAAATTTCCAAATATTCTCACTGCATGATTGTAAATAAAAATAGTCGAAATGTAATTTAAAATTTATATTTAGCGGTTCGAAAAAAATCAGATTTTATCTACAAATCCATTAAAACTCAACTTCTAAGTGATTTCCATTGAAATATTTTTTTTCACTTATTATAATGAGAAATTGAATAAATTTGACTATTTTCATAACTAAAATTTAATTTTAATTTTTAGACGGAGAAAAGAATCGATGATTCACGTGATGAAATTCGTGTCAATGATAGTGAACAAAATTCACGTGTTGAAACGCCAAATGAATCGAGACCATTTCTTATTTATAATCGAGTCTCAGCGGTGATTAATGATTCTAGTAATATCAATAATTCTGGACAAAATTCAACGCAAGAAGAAAGTTTAGTTGATTCGCCGCCAAGAAAGGATAAAGCAAGTCCTGTTTGGTACGAATATGGATGCGTTTAGAATTATTTTTACCCATTATTTTTTATTTTTGCATATATTCACAGAGACAAACAACTAAGGCTTCCAGATTTTAATATTTTTTTTTTTCATCAGGTTTTACGTGTCAGTCATTTATTTATATATAGTTTCATCGTCAATCGCTATTTATATATGTATAATTATTACTGTACATTCCAGTATTTAGGGTTTTTTTTATATCATTTTTTAATCCGCACCATTTATTTTAATTTTCTCAATTTTTAAATTGTCCAGGCTTCATAGTCGTCCCCTATTTTCCCTAAAAGTCCCCTTTTTCTCTATTTGTCCCTAAAAGTACCCTATTTGAAAAATTTCGCCTATTTAACATAAAAAATTAGTACAAAGCTTTGATTTTTATGAGAATGCTTTTTAAAAATATTTATTTTTTACCCAAAATTTAATGAATAATTCAATTATTTGATTGATTTTGTATTAAAATGTTTTATAAAATTTGATAAATACCAAAAATTTTTGATGTAGAGAATTATTTAACTACATTTCGATTAAAATCGTTGTGAACTAATTTTTAAAAAAATTTTACAAATTATTTTGTAAGATATTTGGTGTAGATTTTTAATTAAAAATAGAAATTTATATATTTTTCTGAAACTTTTGATTCAGGAAATGGATTAAATTTAATAAAACAATTTTTTATATCAAATATTTTTAACTTGTTAACTAAAAATTAATTTTAAAATCAAAATTCAATTAACAAATAGATTCACTAATTTGTGAATGAAAAATTATAAAATATGTTTTCTCAAAACTGTACTAAAGTGGTTTAGTATGTTTACTTATTTAATTTTCATAGTATCTTAAAAATCCCCTATTTTCAAATTTTCAAACTCCTATTTCCCCTAAAATATTTTTTAGGATCACTATGAAGCCTGAATTGTCTTTTTTTTCATTGCTGGCAAAATTTGAAAATCTTTATTTTTTGTCTGTTTTTACTTGTTTTTATTTCAATGTAAAATTGTTCGTTTTTTTCTGTTCCATGTGTTAAATTTTTAATTTTTCTTTTTAAATCGTTTCTTTTATCATTATTTAAAAAAAAAAACAAAAATTATGTACACAATTGTTACCAGAGATTTACGGTGTTTCACTTATTTTTTTTATGTGCACAAATAACTTAATAATACCAATATGTACAAAAAAGTATTTCGTATTACGCTTTGCAATTTGCACGATGATTGTGATTTTTTTTATGTTTAGTGGTTTCGAGAGTTAGTGATTCTTTTTCTTTCCTATTGGAATTCAGCTTGATTGCATTTATGAAATATTTCATGATAAGCTAGAATTTAGGATGAAAAATGTGTCCGTTCATTATAGTGATTATATATAAAAAAAAGAAAAAAAAATAAGCTTCAGATTTAGAAGATCTTTTCTTTTCTTTGAAAAACGTTCTTCAAAAATCTCATAATGAAGACATTCTTGCCAAATTTTTTGTATCATTTTTTATTAAATTGTAGCTAAATAAAAGGCTTTTTAAGAAAATTTCAACAAAATTTTTTTTATTCAACCTTTGTAAAAAAATTTTTTTTTCGGAATTTACATATTCTTTGGTATATTTCTTCAATCATTTTCAATAATCTAAATGTTTAAATTATTTACAGTAATTTACAAGATGCTTTCCAAATTCGTTAATATATTCTTAATATTGAGTGTGAAAAAAATTTAAAAATAAAAAAAAAAATTATCAAGTCAATATTTGACTCCGTCAACAAATATTTGTATAAAGTCAAAAAATTTTGACTTCTTTTTTCTCTGATAATAATACTGATGAGTTTTTAGAGAATAACTCTTTGTCAAAATAACATTTTTTTTCCAACTGTCAACAGTAGAAAAAGTGAAAGTAAGTACGAGAAAAAAATTAAGTAAAAATTCATTTTAAAAATGAAAATAATTTGAAAATTTGATATTTTTGTTTTCAAATGTAAAATCATGTCGCTTCTTTTATCCTTTGGGATTTAAGATTTTCTGTTGGCTTATAAGAAATTTGTTTGTTATAAATATTCTCCTTACAAATATTAAATTCTGATATCATTTCTTCTAAATTTTTATCGCCATTCAAAACAATTACAGGCGCTGGTAGTGAAAATATTTTTCTTTCCAAAAGCCATTCGTCGTGAATTTTGTGTAATTGTTGTAAATAATCAAGAGACACACAGTCCTCCTCTTTTCGCGCTCGTTCTCTCATTCGTTTATAAACAACTTCCGGAGAAGTTCTCAAATAAACTGCAAAAAAGGAAACAAATTTTATAAAATAGAAGATATATTAAAAAAAAAATTTCAAAAATCAAGAAGATATATCTACAAAAATCGTAATAAAATTTTTAGGGGAAAAAAAAGATTTAATCTCGTCGAAAATTGGTATTTAAATGAAAATTAAATATTTAATTTACCAATTAAATCAGTTTCAATTTCGGAATTTTCAATGGACCAATTGTACCATGCTTCCAAAACGTATAATTCAACGTCCTTCAGTGTTTTATTTCGTTTCATATTTTCTATAAAAAGTCGTGCACTGTATGCCGATCTCTCCATTATTTTATAAGGTTGCGAAGTATTTAATTTGTGCAATTGTACCATTGTTAATTGCACATAAGATTGGAATAAACAGGCGTAACGTTCTGTGTCTTTATACATTAGTTCCTGCAAAAAAAAAAAAATTATTAAAAATTTATTTATTAAATTTAATAAATTTATTTATTTTGTTAGCAAATTTTTCCGTTGACAAATTTGTCTGCATTCATTTATTTATGTTTGGAAAATTCTTAAAATATTCTTTAAAAAAATTCAATTATTTTCAAAGCTTTCAATCAAATTTTTACGAAATTTCAATTACCTACTTAAAATTTTTTTAATTAAATATATTTGAAAATTCAAGTATTTTAAAAAATATAATTTAAATTATTATTTTAAAAAACTTAGTTATTTCAAAATTATGAATAAATTCTTCGTTAAAGTGAATTTTTTTTTTAAATTTTTAGTTTAAAATCTTTTCAAAATAGAAAAAATCAAAACTTTTAATTGCAACACATTCAATATTAAATTATTTCTATTAAATTCATATAATTATGTTATTTATAGAAAAAGTTAATTAAAACTCTTTGTAAATTTTATCATTTTCTAAAATTTCAATAAACTTCTTCAATAATTTAATTATTTAAGCACTTAACAAATTAAAATTATTGCTTTTAATACATTAATTTTAATTTCCACAAAATTTATTTATTTGTAAAAAAGTTATATTACAAAATTTTTTAAGAATTTCATTATATTATTATTAAAAATTTTGATTGCAGCTTTTCGAGATATCAATTATTTCCAAATAGGTACATTTCATTTTTACAAAAACATTGTAGGTACCTATAAAGTTTTTTATAATTTTAAAGGTATATATTTCAAATTTTAATTTAAAAATCTTTTAAAATTCAATCATTAAAAAAAATTCAACTGCTGTACTACAAAAATTTAATTAATTAAAAAAATTTTAAGAAATATTCTTCGAAATTTCAATTATTTGAAAAAATTTTTGATTATCAAATTCTAAAACTTGTTAAAAATTGGTAAAAAAAATCTTTATTAATTCAAATTTAAAAAACATTTGAATTTAAAATCTTCTGAAATTCAATTAATTCAAAAAAAAACCTAATAGAAACTATTCAAAAATTTAAGTATTTAAAATGTCTTTATCTAAAATTTTTTGCCAAGTCAATAGTTTTTAGTAATTTTAATAATTTTTCAAAAATTTAATAATTTTGATAGAATTTAAAACAATTTTATTAGAAATCAAAAATTTTTAACTCAACTTTTTTAACTTTTATTATCTTAAACTGAGATTTTTATAATATTTTAAACTATAAATATTATTAAGACAACACTGACTAATTTAATTTAAAATTTAAAAAAATTTTAAATTTTAGGAAATTAATGTAATTTTTATTCAAAAAAATAAAATTTAGTTTTTTTTAGTTTTCTAATTTTTAGAATAGAAATTTACATTTTTTTTTTACTTTAATTAAGGAAATAGACTATTTTCTCAATTTCTTTTTGAATGAATAATAAACAAATTTTATTTTCAACAGAAATAACAAAATTATAAATTAAATATCAGGAAATTTATATTATTTTTTCAATTTTAAAATATAATACTTGTAAATTAAATTATTTTTATTGCTCGATTTTGATAATTGGTTTTTTGAAATTAGAAAATTTTAAGGGGAGGAACCGCTGAAATTTTAACCTTTCAAAATTGAGACTGTTTCAGGTTGTCAATTTTTTTTCCAGTTAATATTGAGTATTTAAAAATAATTTTTAAAATAAAACTCGAAATTTTCAAGAACTAAAAATTGAAACTTCTGTCACAATTTTTATTATTTTTCATTGCTGATTTTTTTATACACTTTTTTCAAGATTCTGAACAATCAATCGTATAGATTTTTAAAAAATTTAATTTTTAAAAAAATAACATTTTTAAAGAATAAAAAAAAATAACTTTTTTCATTTTTCATATTGAAATATCATTTCAGGTTCTAAAAAAAATTGTCACCCCTAAACCAAACCAATCAATTATTCCTTAAAAATTCAATTTCTTCTACAATTTTTATTATTTTTTATCGGTAATTTTTTTGTAGGCTTTTTTCATGATTCTGAACAATCAATCGTATGGATTTTTAAAAATTTTAATATTTTCAAAAAAAATAAAATTTTGAAAATACTCAAAAAAATTTTTTTTTTTAATTTTGATAATTCACAATAATTTTAGATCCAAAATAATGCCAAAAAAAATTGACACCCTTTAACAACATTAATTCAGACCTCGGATCGACTTAAAGACACAAAAAGTCGATTTATATTCCAAAAAAAGTCGAAAAAGTCGGTTTTTTTTTATTTTAACAAAAATATTTTACAGATTTTTAAATAAATTTTTATTTTTAAATAATAATACTTTTGAAATAGTTAAAGTTGACATTTTTAGAAATAATTGAATTTTAAAAGATTTTGTTAATTTTCAGACAATAATTAAATTTTACAGAACTAAAAATAATTTAACAAATAATTTCAGATAACATTTTTTAAATGTAATTGAATTTTTAAAGATTTGCAATTGAAATTTTTAAAATTAATTGAACTTCAAGTGATTTTTAATTAAAATTTTTTTATGATTTCACTAAAAAATTTATTAGAAATTGCGGATAAAAATACAATAATTTGAAAAATGTTATAATTGAAATTGTTAAATTTCAAAAAAAAATTTCGATAGAAAATTTTAGAAATAATTAAATTTTAAAAGCTTTTAAATTAAAATTTTTGAAAATAATTGAGTTATAATTAAAATTTTGGATAATAATTCAATTTTTGTTGATTTTTTATAAAAAATTTTGAATTCAAATTTTGGATAATTATTGAATTTTAATTGATTTTGAATTGAAATTTTTGGTAATAATTGAATTTTATTTGATTTTAAATTGAAAATTTGGAAAATAATTGAATTTTCTTTGATTTTGAATTGAAAATTTTGAAAATAATTAAATTTTCTTTGATTTTGAATAAAAATTTTGGGTAATAATTGAATTTTAGTTGATTTTGAATTGAAATTTTTGAAAATAATTCAATTTTCTTTGATTTTGAATTGATTTATGATTTTGAATTAAAAATTTTTGGTAATTTTATTTGATATTTTTTTAAAATTATAAATAATTGTTAAATTTCGTAAAAAATTTTATTAAAAAATAATTTGAAATAATTGAATTTGTGATGAATTTCATTAAAATTATTAAAAATAATTAATTTAGTGAAGAATTTTAGTTAAAAATTTGTTAAATAATTGAAATAAAGAAGATATGAAGAAGATCTGCATTTTATACTAATAAAGAAATATATTTTATTTAAAAAATTTTTTTTAAAATGTAAAAAAAAGTCGAAATAGTCGAAAAAGTCGTATAATCCGAGGCTTGTTAATTTCAATGATTTGAAATTTTACCGATTCATCACCTTAATGGCATAAAAATACATATTATAAATAAAATTTTTTTCTCAAAATAACGAAATTATAGTTTATAATAATGATTAGATACTTTTTTAGTTTACGTTTAATTAAAATAATATTTTAATTTAAATTAAACAAAAAAAAAGTATAATAAAAATTGTTTTTTACCAATAAATTTTCACCAGCAACATTACGCCAAAGTTGAACGGGTTCCTGAAGAACGGCAGTGTTATTGTAAATTTTGAAATTATTTAAAAATGTCGTTTTTCCACTACCTATATTACCCTCGACGCAAACTGTGAATCTTCTCTTAGAATCGCGACGTAAAATGACATTTCTAAGGAAGTTTGTAAATGTTTTGTCTGTAAAAAGGAAAATTATCATTCTTTTCTAGAAATTTATTTATTAAGATATTCGCGCAAAAAAAATCTTATAATTTAAAACAAGCAAAAGTATAGAAACAACAATTATAGAAACAAAAATAAAAAAACTAAAACTTTATTTAAAAAAAAATTATAAAAAATAAAATAAAAAAAATTTATTTAAATTTATTTTTTCTTAAATATTTTATTATTTTTATTGTACATATTTTAATTATTTTAATGAATTATTTATTTCGATTGAAATATTTTAGAATTACAATTTTTAACAAAAAAAAAATTTATTTATTTATTTATTTCATACATATTATTTTAAAGTTTGTAATTTTTAAAAAATAATTTAAAAAATAAGAAAGAAAAAATATAATTAAAGACATAAAAGAAAATGAATTATTAATATTGCTTTAATATAAATTATCATAAATTATAAAATTATATTTAGCAATTGTATTTATTTAATTAGTTTTTTAACATTTCCCCATATATCTATATAAATATAGAAATACATGAAATGTTGCAAGAAATAATAATTATTAATTTGAAATTATCTTTTATTTTCTATAATTTAATTTATTTTTACTAAACTAAAATTATTTTTAATTCCTAATTCTTGATTTAATACATATTTAAGAAAAAAGTATTTTTTTATATATACACAAAAAAAAACGTGGTTGGAAAAAAACGCAATACATTTAAACATAACCTCTTTCAAAATGGAAAAATCAATAAAAAAAAATGTTTTAATATAAAAACGTTCAGTAATTCTTAAAATAAATTAATGCCAGTAAAGAAAAATTATAAATAAAAAATAAATTCAAAACAATCATCAACCTTGAACGTTAAAATCGTTATAATAAACAAAAACCCTCTTATTAAGTTTGTATATTTCGATTATTAATTCATATAACAAATTATAGAAGAAATTTAAAAATAATTAATTTTCTTTTTTACTCACGTATAGAGAACATTTGAGAAAATCGTTAAAACCTGTGAAACCTGTTGAAAAGAATAATCAGTTTTTATGTCTACACAAAATTATACAAAAGACACAAAATAACCGGTAAAAAATTTGTTTCACAAAAACGTCACTTTTTTATCGCGCATTTGTTTCGCGCAATTACCAACAGAATAAAAGAAAATCAATTATTATCTCGATTGGAGATTTATATTCTCATTGTTACTATTAAATTCTCTTCTCTTGTTAAAAAATAGAAATTAAGTTTTAACAAAAATTGTTTCTATTTAGTCTTGTAATTATATTTATGTGTTTGAATATTTTAATTATTTAAAAAATTGCGCGGAAAAATACGACAGCAGCGCCGTCTATTCGTCACCATACAAAATAAAATTTTCTCCCAAGCAGCAGAAACCAGCAGAAACCAGACACCAGCGAGCAGGAAAGTGGCAAAAATGCTTTTTTTTAGTTGATAATTAGTCTATATTTAATTAATCATGATGGATTATGAATTTAAAATGAAAACCCAAAAAGATCGAACGAAAGTTGAAGATTTATTTGAATTTGAAGGATGTAAAGTGGGCCGAGGTACTTATGGACACGTCTACAAAGCTCGCAGAAAAGAAGGGTTAGTTTTTTGTTCGGCGTTCTTTTTTCCATTCTAGTAGAATAATTTTATTTCAAATTTTTCTCTACTTTTATTGTTAATTTCATGTTTTTCTTTATATTAATAATCGAAACCCAAACGAATCTATCGTTTTTCAGAATTAACATTAGAAAAAACTGTGCCTGAAAACGATTTTCGATTTTGGGGTTGGGCACTTTTAGTTTGTAATTTGAGAGCGATCTGTCGAATAGAATCCCATTTTTTTTCTCCCTCTTCCCTTTATTGAAACCCTTCAAATTAAGATAATTTTGGAATTTGCAGAATATTAAATTTTTGTTTTTACAAAAAAAATTAATTTCTTTTTTTTTGTTGTACAATTGATGAAAATTTTTACAATTTTTCTAAATTTTATTTTTCCTAGTGAATAAATTGACGAAAATTTGTTGTAATTAAATGCTGAAGTAATTATTTTTAATTTTTATTGAATTTTATTTCAATTTTTTTTACATTTTTATTTGTTAATGTGTGTTAATTAGGGGCAAATTAAATAATTAATTTTTAAATCTATTTTGTATTATTTATTTTTAAAATTTTAATTTAAGTTTACTTTAATTTTAATTTAAATTGTAAGATTAATTCAATTTTAATTAAGTATAAAAATTTATTTTTTAATAAAAAAAAATTAATTTAATTAAAAATATATTAAAAAAAATTTTTTTAAATCGATTCTATTTTCTATTATCAAAATTAATTAAGGAGGAATCGAACGTACAGTCAAAATAAAAGTTAGTTCAGTTAAACATTATTATATTTAAAAAAAAAGTAATTTTTAATTTATAAATTTTTTTCAGTAAAAGAATGAATTTTATTTTTTATATTTTGAATAATTAAAAGTTGCATTTGAATGAAGATTACAAAATTTTTTTAGTATAAAAAACGATTGTAAAATTTTTCGTTATGTTACCTAAATCGATTTTTTTTTGTAAGAAAATTGTAATTTTTACTAAAATACAAATTTTAATGGTTCAAATAATTGTTATATTTATAATAATTAATAATATTTCAAAATTAAAAAATATGTTAAAAATTAAATTGTTTACATTTGCAATGAAATATTTTTTAAGATTAAATTGTTTTTTTATTTAAAAATAAAAATTTTTATTTATATTTATTTATTTGTTTGAAGTACGTCTATTTCATTTTGAAAATCACTACTTTTGTGACTTAGAACAGAATTTTATCTATGAAATTTTAACCGAAAGAGGTCATAAGAATGGAGTGTGACAAATGAAGCAAAAAAATTAATTTTAGAAATAAATTCTGATCAATTTATGAAACTGTGTAAAATTTTGTAAAAAAAAAAATATGATCAATATATAAAAATCGAAAAGAAATTTCAGAAATATTTGAAGTTATATATAAAATCGTGAAATTAAGATAAATTGTAAGAAATGTACAATTTTTTAACTTTTGTTTATTTAAATATAAATTATTTTAATAGAAATATTAAAATTTTCAGTAATATATTTTATTTTATGCCCATTTGTATCTTTAAATAAATAAATAAATAAATTGAGGCAATTTTTTTAGAAATTTATATTACGAAATTTTTCATGTTATTTATTCTAATTTAAATGTGAATCCACGAAGTGAGTTTGAAATATTCGATACAATAAATCTACAAAATCTTCAGAGTTCCAGACAGTGAACTGAAGTCTCGACCAGACACTAAAGATTTCGGATTAAAGCAAATTGAAGGCACGGGGCTTTCTATGTCTGCTTGTCGCGAGATTGCAGTAAGTATTTTTTTTCTTTAATGTAAATTGCAATTTAAAAAAACAATTTACACACACACATTTTTCGAGTATCCTCAACAATTTAAAATAATTTTTTTAGGACACATTGTATTGTAATATAATCGCTAAAATTTTAAGTAATTTCTGAATTAAAATATATTTACTATATTTATAATATACATTTATAAATATTTCTTTATTGTTATTATATATTTTAGTAAAAAAAATTTTTGTTAATTTGATAATTCGCATTTTTTTTAATTATAAAAATCATTATAAAATTATTAAGATTTGATAAAATTAAAATATATTAATAAAAAAAATTCAGTATTATTTCAATTACTTAACAAATTTTTATCTAAAATTCTTCTCTAAATTAATTATTTTCAATAATTGTAATGAAATTCTTCACAAATTCAATTATTTAAAGTATTTTTCAATTAAAAATTTTATAAAATTCAATAATTGTTTAAAATTTTTTTAAAAAAATCAATAAATAAAATTACAAAAAATTTCAATCAAAAATCACTTGCAGTTCAATTATTTTCAAAAATTTGAATTGTAAATCTTTCAAAATTCAATTATTTTCAAAAAAAATTGTATCTAAACTTATTTGATAAATTATTTTCAATTCAGTAAAATTTAATAATTATTGTCTGAAATTTAATAAAATCTCTAAGCATTTCTACTGTTACTCTTTCAAATTTCAATTATTTTAAATAATTTTAATATTTTTAAAAAAATTCAATTATTTAAAAAAGTTTAAATAAAAAACTCTAAAATTGAATTATTGTTAGAAATTTTGAAAAAACTACTACTTAATTAAAATTTTGAAAATTTGTTTGATTCTGAAATATTTGAAATATATTTTCTGGATAATATTTTTATAGAATTATTCTTAATAAGGAATTAATAAAATTAATTTAATATCAAATAACATTAGTTATTTAAAGTGAAATATTTATTAACTAATTAAATTTAGTTAAGATAAAAAATCGACTTTTTCGACTTTTTTTTGAATGTTTTGTTTCGTTTACTAAAGAATTTTGCAACTTTTATTTTTTGCTATGAGCCAAAAGTTCTGAATGTTCAAATGAACGAAACATTTTTTTCAATCTATAAATTATCAAAAATTATGATATCAATGTAAAATAAAACAGTAAATTAAACAATTATTAAAATAATAATTTCTGTTTAGATATTTAAAATAAAATTTTGTAATCAAATTCGTACTTAAAGAAGTTGCAAACAAAAATTTCTTTCCTTTGAACGTTCAAAATTTTTGGCTCATTTTTTGCTTCCAATAAAAATAAAATTTATTTTTCATTGTTCATTACATGTTTCAAAATTTCCCCCGATTATTTTTATTAATATTAATATTATTGTTATTATTGTATTGCTATGTTAATATTTATAAACTAAAATTGATTATTATTCCAGTTACTCAGGGAATTAAAACATATTAATGTGATAACTCTGATACGCGTATTTCTCTCACATACAGACAGAAAGGTCTGGTTACTTTTTGACTTTGCCGAGCACGATTTATGGGTACGAATTAGAAGTATACTTTTTAATATTTATTAATAATTTTTTTTACATTATACATTATAAATAATATTTATTTTTATTATCATTATTATTTTTTAATAGAACTTAAATTAATCTTTCATATTTCCCTCCGTTTAGCATATTATCAAATTTCATAGGGCGGCAAAGGCTAACAAAAAAACTGTTTTGGTGCCTAAAGGAATGGTGAAATCTTTATTGTATCAAATTTTAGATGGTATTCATTATTTGCATTCCAATTGGGTTCTTCACAGGGACTTGGTAATTAGCACAATATTTAAATTCATTTTTAATATTTATTCGTATCAGTTATTATTATTATAGAATCGAAACTTTTCTGAGTATAAATGTTTCGTAGAAAGAGTATTTTAATTTTATTCTCAATTTTTAATTTTTTAATTACAAATGCAAACATTAATTTTTTAATTCTAAATCTTTGAAAGATGTATATATAATGTGTTAAATATTATATAAATGAATGTTTATATTATCTAAGATTTAGAAAAGTTTCAATTAATACGGTTTTTAATTTTCTCGCAGGTGTATTATAAATATTAAACTTTTTTTTAAATTTAAATGAAAAATTTTGCTTTTTGTTTTTGCAAAAATTGAAAATCACTTGTAATTTCAGAAACCGGCGAATATTTTAGTAATGGGAGAAGGAAATGAAAGGGGACGTGTAAAAATTGCGGATATGGGTTTCGCGAGATTATTTAATGCGCCCTTAAAGCCACTTGCCGATTTGGATCCTGTTGTTGTGACTTTTTGGTATAGAGCTCCTGAATTACTTTTGGGTGCGAGGCATTACACAAAAGCAATTGGTAATTATTTCAAAACAAATTATTTTGTTTTTATTTCAAAAATTTGTTATAAAACAATTTTTTTCAGGAAAATTTAAATTACCATATTTATTTACTATTTATTTATAGTTCACACCTTTTGTTTTCGGACGAACTTCCGATATACATTTTACAAATTCACACATTAAATTTAATATAATCTTCATTACAAATAAATTACCGTATATATGTGGAGCATTTCATTCAAACCGTTCCACCTTCAAAAGAAAATTGAGAAAAGATCGTTTTATAAGTGAATTTTATTCTATAAAAAAGAAATTATTCATCAAATGTTACACACTCGAAAGAGATTGGTCTCAACATTTTTTTTTTAATTTCTCAAAATTCATAAAGAAATTCAAAATAATATTTCAAATCACCTTTATCCTAAAATTCTGAAAAATACCCATAATAAACCACATGGGATTAGAAATTAGAAAAACTGAACTTTTTTTCACGTAAGTTACAAAAATCTTTAAGAGGGAGTGTTTTATATTACAAAATGGAATTACTTTATGAATTTCCAGAAATTGAAAAAAAATAAAATTAAAAAAAAAACTTACATTGTGATTAATTGAATAAATAAATCTGCTAGCACTCATCTTTTGAAGGTGAAACAGTTTCAAATAGAATGCCCTATTATTTATATAAAGGAATAAAAAATTTGATCAGAAAACGTGATTTGAAGGAAAATTTCGTTTTGTTTTCTTTAGATATTTGGGCGATTGGATGTATATTTGCGGAATTATTAACGTCGGAACCAATATTCCACTGTCGACAGGAAGATATTAAAACTAGTAATCCATATCATCATGATCAATTGGATAGGTAATTGAAAAAAAATATTTTATATTTAATTTAATTTTTATATTATTTAATTTAATTAATAAATAAAATCGTAATGTAGCAAAAAATTTTTGATGTTACAAGGAGATTATTTTTCCTTCTTTTTTTTTAAGGATATTTAATGTAATGGGATTCCCCATGGAAAAAGATTGGGAAGATATTAAGAAAATGCCTGAACATCCGACTTTGCTTAAAGATTTTAAACGATCCAAGTAAGTTTCTTTTTATTGTTGTCAATTTATTTTTCTCTTTTTTTCAAATTATTAATTTCACGTTAATTTTTCCGAAATTTTGTTTTCAGTTTTTCATCATTTAAAAAAGTTGAAAAAAAATTTAATTAAAAATTATTTTTTACTGCTTTTTTATTTATTTATATATATATAATATTTATTAGGTATTTATTATTCATTATTATCTATTATTATTTATTATTATTATTAGTATTATTATTTTATTGTTATTATTTTATTCATTTTCTTTATTTTTTGTATATTTATTTATAAATACTAAAATTGCATTAGAGAAATAAATGATTTTTTTCCCCATTAATAATTGTTGATTATTAATTGTTTTGCTTTGTTTCCAGCTACGCAAATTGTTCCCTAACGAAATATATGGATCGACATAAAATAAAACCAGACAGCAAAGCGTTTGCTTTGGTGAGAATTTCATTACGTTAAAATTTTTACAAAGTTTTGTAATCGATTATCCATCTCTTTTTTTTTTTTTGTTTTTGGCAGGAAAAGAATAGGTCAATAATTTCTTTTTTTTTTTAATTTTCAGTTGCAAAGACTGTTGGCGATGGATCCCAATAAAAGAATCACATCCGAACAGTCAATGCAGGATCCTTATTTTTTGGAGGAACCTCTACCAACTCAAGAGTAAGATCAAATTTTTTACTATTTTTTCTTTTCTTCAAAAAAATTGATTTTACCAAATTTTCTTATTTTTTTTTATTTGAAACTAAATATCGTGTCGATAGTTAAGAATGATTAAAGGGCAATATATTTTATGAATAGAAAATCACAATACAATATACAATATAAAAGATATAAATAAAATATATTGCTAATATTTTTTATTAATTATTTAAAACATTAAATTGTAATTTCAAAAAAAAAAAATTGAATGCAAAATATTTAATTTTCATTAAGTCGTGTTTTAAATGAACGAAATAAATAAAAAAAAAAAAAATTAAAAGAGTATAAAAAATTATGATTGGTAAAAAAAATGACGAATGGAATTTTTTTTTCACCCAATTGTTGCAGTATTTTCGCGGGCTGTCCAATTCCTTATCCAAAGAGGGAATTCCTGACGGACGACGATACAGAGGAAAAGACTGAAAACAAAGCAAGGCAGAATCAGCAACAAACGGTACTTATTATGTAGTTTAAACATTCCTAATTCGTATCAGACGTGTGTAGAGATACCCAAAAAAGCGCTTGGACTTCAAGTAGGATCAGGTATGTATTTAGTGTAAGCGCCGCACAAACTTTGTCGAAAAAAAAAATGGGTGGCCGGGTTTTTGCGATGTTTGCCACTCAATCTTTGCATAAGTGTCGTACCGGAAGTCCAAAAGTAGTCTTTTTTAATCAGCTTTCTATCCTTATTTTCCTTTTATTATTAGTATATACACATATATTTTTATATAAAGGGTGATTTTCATTTCTCGCTCACCATAAAACATTTTTAATTCTATTTTTTTGTTTAGAAAACGAAAAAAAATGAGATTAAAAACATTTTTTTAGTGAGCCTGGAACATAAAAATTACCCTTTATATATTGTAATTGTCTTTCTTCAGTGCTGCAATTTCTTGCAAAATTCTTGGGCGTTTCTATAATTAGAGGAGACTTCCAAAATTGTCGTTGGATTTTCGATTTTTCTTTCTGCTGAAAATTAAGCTTTTTTTTTTTTACTGATATTTATAATTTTTAATTTTTACTTTAGTAAAAACTAACAATTATTATTTATTAATTAGTTAATTAATACTTTAATTAATGTACATTTATTAAAAAATTTTCTTTTAGACATTAATTCTTCAATTTTCTATATGGGTATACTTTTAATTTATCTTTTTCTTTGATTTTGCTTTTTTTTTGCCTTTTTGATTGGTTTAATGCTCGGACTAACACGAAACTTTTTACTTTAAAAAAACTAATATGTACATATTTACAATTTTTACCGAAAAAATGTAATGTAAGATTTTAAAAAAAATTTTTTTTTAATATTGTGCTTACGTTTTTTTTACTTAATTTAAATTTATTTAATAAATTGTAGAGTTTAAGTACCATTCTTTTCAAGAAATTTACAAAAAATTACAATCGGTTTTTGCAATATTTTATTATTTACATCGCAAATAATAAATTACACAAAGCAGTTGTAAGTACAGATAAATAAACAAAAAAAAAATCGAGTCTTTCACAACTTTTGCTTTAAAAAAGAAACTTTCTTTAAAAAAGATATTTCAAATAAATTTTTTTAAGATTGTTTTTCATTAAACAATGTTTTTTTAAAAAATACTTTTCTCCATAAAAATTATTTTTTTTTTTGAAAAACACTCTTTTCTGGATAATTTTTTTTTTGAAAATTATTGTAATTAAAAAGAAATATTGTAGTTTTGTTTAACAATACTGTTATTAAAAACTATTTTCTGCAGAAAATATACTTTTTTTTCAAAATAAAAACTTGTAAAAAAAACTCTAAAAAAGACAAAAAAAAAATAGTTTCCTTTGAAAAGTTTCATTGTCTATAATTATAAAATAACTTACAAAGAATTGATGTTTAAAAGATTTTGAATATAAAACAAAACACTGAATCGTTATTTAATTTTCAGAGTTTTCTAATTTATTAAAAAGAGAATCTAATTTTCACAACGATAATAAATAAATTTTGAAGTTCTTGTAATTGAGAAGTTTCCAAATATGTATTTTTTTTATTTATCATTAAAAATTTACTGAAAAAAATTGTATTCAACAATTTTCGAATTTGAAAACATTAATCGCAAAGTATTCATTAGAAATATTTTATTCAATCCTATTTTTTTTTATGAATTGTTGGAAATCTTTTTTGTTAAAGCGGTATTTTATTTGTTTAAAAAAAATATTTTAAATAATAATTTAAATTCGTTTTTTATTTTGTAACTGATTTTTCTAATGCATATTTTAAAAATTATACGACCATATATGAATTGTTAATTATAAGTATCAATATACATGTGACCTGGATAGTGAAAAGGGGGCTTACGTGCGAAAAAATCGATTTTTTATTGATTGGTGATTCTGATAGAGAAAACTCTTTTTTATCACAATCACCAATCAATAAAAAATTAATTTTTTCGCACGTAAGCCCCCTTTTCACTGTCCAGGTCACATATAGCTGAATTAATAATTATTATTATTGATAAAAATAATAATTATTATTAATTAATATTTATTTTTATACTTAATAATTAAACGGTGAATTGTTATTTACTTTTCAAAATTTACCATTTCAAAAATTTTGAACTTCTTTTAAAGACTCTTTCAAATCTAAAACTGTAAAAGTATTCCAAAAATAATGCTTTTAAGAATACATTAAAGAATTTTTTTTTAGAAATTTGTGAAAATTTAAAAATTACAAATTTTTTTCTGATAGAAAAAAGAAATTGCATTGATTCTTAAAACACGGTTAAAGATTTTTTTTCTAATGAATAATACTGTATTTAGAAGAAAAATTGTTAAAAATAAATAAAAAATGTGACTTGAATTTCTAAAAAGTTAAAAGTAAATGTTTCTTTTACTTTTTTCTTTGCTAATTTTTCTTGTAACTTTTCGATGACAATGTTTTCAAAATGCGAAAAAGAAAATAAAAATAAAACAAACAGAACAGAACTTTAGATGTAGAAATGCCAGTCAATTTTTTTTTTGCGTCGTTTGATTGCTAGCGATGCTATTGTAATGGAAATTTTCAGCAACAAAATCAACAAGCCCAAGGAGGTAATGGGGAACACAATCACGGGCAAAACCCCAAAAGAGTGAGACTGAATGGACCGCATGGAGCGCCAGAATTTCATCAGCACCAAAGTCACACAATGAATCATCAACAACCACAAGGAATGGTTTATTCGGCCACACAACCATCACAACCAGCAAATTTTCATCAACGCTTTTAAAATAGATATCTCCGATATCATATTGATTTATCTAATAAAAAAAAACAGAAATGACGTTTGTTTTTTGCGTGAAAAAAAGACGCGAAAGAAAAAAAAAGTCCGACAAGTATTTCTCAGTGACCCATTGACTTATTGTGTATGTATGCATGTCTGAATTACGAATAATGTCAACTGTATATTATCTTCGTCCGAGACTAGAAATTTATTTATATACATAAAAAAAGAAACAACTTTGTTTTTTTTTCTACCTCAATCCTTGAAATAGTCAAATAGTTTATAAGTTTTTTTAAGGGTATGTGGGCAAAGGACGTTTTTTGTAGTTTAAAACTTTCTCTGATATAAACAATGATTTTGGGTTAAAATTTTTGAGAAATGATTTTGTTTGATACAAGGAATCTCGCTGTTCTTCACATTTACTGTAACATAACGCAAAAATAATAAAAATAAAGCAATAAATAGTAAAATAATAGTTTTTGGGGTCGCTGATTACGAATTTAGAGTCAGTTTTTTAAAATGGCGAATCCAATAAGGCGGGTGAAATTTAAAAAATTGTTCAGATTCGATTGAAACTTGTTACTCGTGGATTTTTGGGGTATACTATAACTATAAAATAAAATTTTTTAGGTCATAGAGAGTGTCTGGGAACCAAAAATGAGTTTCTTGTAGAATGGAGAAGGGGAGAGAAATCGAACCATACAACACTAATCAAATCAAGTTTGGTATTTTTGACAAAATAAAACAATATAAATTTATTGATTGTGATCAAAAGACAATTTATATGTATGGCAAATTATTATCCGCACAGTGTAAAATGTGCAATGAATCATATTTAATTCAAATACGGTAAATAATTTAATTGAGCCTTGATTCACTGTTTAGATTCATTAATCAATTGTGCATTGAATGCGATTCAGTGAATTGAATAGTGTTTTTATATTATTTTACAAACTTGATTTTATTGAAAATCTCAAATATATTAATACATGTTTAATTTAGTCTCAGGAGATACTGATCTTTCCCTCGTTTTCGCCTTCATTCCCACTCTTTTGTCGCGTTGCGTACATTACATTTTTCCTGTACTCACAACATCCACACACACTCAAATCCCTTCGCATAGTCAACTTGAACATTCCGCCACTTTTGAAATGCTTAAGTAGTTTGATTTACAATAATATAGCATTTCAATCTAACTAAAGTCTATTTTTATGTACATTTATTTATCAGTCTCGATTGGAAGAATACAAATTTTTGGCACTGCCCGCTTTGTAGTACCTGATGACGTTCTTATGCTCACCACTCGTACTCGTCCATCCACACCGGAATGCAATTCGACAATTCTACCGAGTTGCCATCGTAGCGGCGGCGCATTATCATCCTTTATCGCAACCATTTGTCCAACTTTCACATTTTCACTCTCTTACTTCCATTTAGAGCGAGATTGCAATTGAGTAAGGTACTCACATGACCACCTTTTCCAAAATGACTGTTGCAGTTGACACAACAATTGATATCTACTTACACGATTTAACGGAAGATCGAGATGATTTTCTTCCAGAATTGCATTAAACGTTGTCCCCATCAAAAAATGCCCAGGCGTGAGCACACTCAGATCATCAGGATCTGATGACTGCGGAAATAGAGGCCGAGAATTTAAAATTGACTCTACCTGAGAAACAATCGTATACAGCTCTTCAAAAGTCAACAAGGTGTCATTGATTACCGTTCTCAGGTGCGATTTCGCAGATTTCACGGCTGCTTCCCATAAACCTCCCATATGCGGTGAATACGGTGGGATAAAATTCCATTTTATTGAATTTTCTGCCACGAAATTTGCAATCTTGGTCCTGCTCACAGATTGAGTCAACAAATGCGCCCACATAATTTTTTCCATTATCTGAATTTAACGTTATGCATTTTCCGCGACGAGCAATAAAGCGTTTAAAAGTATTCAAGAACGCGTTCGTTGACAAATCTGAGACCACTTCCAAATGAACCGCCTTTACCGCCATACACACAAATATACATAAGCTTTCCCCGTAACATTTCGCGATATTTTAATTTTAAACGGCCCTGCGTAATCTAATCCGGTGTGAGCAAATGCTCTTGACGCTGTAACACGTTCCGCAGGCAAATCGCCCATCAACTGGCTAGGAGTTTTTGGTCGCAATCGAAAACATAAAATACATTTGCGTAACACACGTCGAATCGCACCCTCCGCTGAAATAATCCAATAATTCTCCCTTAAAATACCTTTCAAAAATCGCGACCCTGCATGTAAATTTTTATAGTGACAATATCTGATTATCAATTCAGTGATCATATGATTTTTGGATAGGATAATCGGAAATTTTTGAGAATAGGAAATAGGTGCGTTTGCCAATCTTCCTCCCACTCGAATTACTCCTTCCTCATCCAAAAATGGATTAAAAGTCAACAAACTGCTGTTAGAGTTGACTGACTTGCCTCGGCGAAGATCTGTCATTTCCTTGGAAAACTCCTCTTCCTGGTGCAATTATAATAGCGTAGCTCGCGCCCTATTCAGCTCATCCACGGACAGACATCCCATAATGAGCGAGAGTCCTCGCCTTTTTCTCCACAGATTGAGAAGATACCGCTGACAGTAGGCTGTCACTCTATACAGCCTGCTCCATGATGAGAATCGCCGAAGGATTGAGAAATCTCTCTCCACCACGTTGAATGAGAGAACTATTTTCTTCTCTTCCGAGACCTCGCTGATGTTGACTTCCTCCTGTGGCCACTTTTCTTTCTCGTCACTCAACCACACGGGTCCATTCCACCAAAGCTCTGAAAACCTCAATTCAGTCAGATCTGCTCCCCTTGAGATCAAATCCGCAGGATTCTGATCTGTTCTAACATGATGCCACCTTTCCGCTGAGATAATTTTCTGAATTTCGGACACCCTATTCCCGTCAAACGTATGTCATCTTGATGGATCACCTCTGATCCAAGCCAGCGCCACTGTGGAATCGCTCCAGAACACCGCAGCCTCGACTTTTATTGTTAAGCAGTCCTTGATCTTAGCGTAGAGATTTGCCAAGAGCAGTGCTCCACACAGCTCTAATCTTGGTAGACTCACCGTTTTTATTGGAGATACACGTGAGCGTGCCGTGAGAAGTCGAACCAACACTGATCCGTCCGCGTTTGATGATCGAAGGTATATGCAAGCGCCATATGCGACCTGTGATGCGTCGCAGAAACCATGAATTTGGACTTTCTCCGGTGCAGCTGCCAAAGCGTGTCGTGGAATCTTGATGCATCCAATCGACCTAAGTTGATCACAATGTTCTATCCATTTCTTAGATACGTCCAGCGGAACCGGTGCGTCCCAACCAATCTTGAGTTTCCATAGATGTTGGAGAAGAAGCTTGGATCTCATGACGAATGGGCCAATTAATCCCAATGGATCGAAGACCTGTGCTATGGCAGACAAAATCACTCTTTTTGTTAGTACTCCTTTTTCCAATTCATACGATGATTGATATCTCAGGACGTCCATGCCTGGCTGCCATCTGAGACCGAGGGTTTTGATCTCTGTGATGTCGAGTCCTTCGACGTCATCGTCGTGCTTAATCTTATTGGTGTGGATTTTTTGCAGTTCGAAACCCGCCCCTTGTAAGATCGTGGTGACCTCTTCAGTAATGGTGTTGATTTCCGTTTCGGTATCGGCGCCTGTCATCACATCATCAACGTAAAAATCATTCCTGATCACCTGTGATGCACCTGGATGTGATTCCTTGCATTGCTCAGCGAGTTGCACTAAACACCGCGTGGCAAGATAGGGTGAGGAAGTGACTCCAAAAGTCACTGTCTTGAGTTGATAAGTCATCATTGCTTGATTTGGATCCTTCCTCCACAAAATGCATTGCAAGTCTCGTTGCTCCGGTTTGAACCATATTTGGCGATACATTTTGACGATATCGCCCGTCATCACGAAACGATGCTGCCGGAAACGGATGATGATCAAGAAGAGTTCCTGCTGCACAACCGGTCCAGTCATCAGGCAATCGTTGAGAGAAATTCCCGTTGAAATTTTACATGATGCATCCCAAACTACCCTTAGTTTGGTCGTAGTGCTTGACTCCTTCAGCACGGCATGATGCGGCAAATAATTTTTTCCAGTTGGCGTTTGATCCGAATGCAGAGTCATGTGACCTTGTTCAAGAAAATCTTCCAAATTTTGATGATATCTTTCTTTCATCGTTGGATCCTTGGCGAACCGTCTTTCCATGGCCAGCAACCGTTTCTCCGCATTGATCCGAGAGTCACCCAGTTTCTTGCAATCTTCCCTCATCAATATATCGACTTCAAATCTTACATCTGATGCTCGCTTGCATGTTTCCACAGAAATCTTCTCACATTTTTGTTCCTCAATTGATCGATGATGAGTTATTGGACCTTCATTGATTTTCCAAAATCTTTCCATTTGATCGTTAAGCGCTGCGTTTGTCATCAGTCCACAAAAGAGAGATGTTGATTGCCGTTGCCGATTTGATTCGGGAAATGTCAAGTATCCGCCCAAAATCCATCAAAATTTTGTAAGTTGCAGGACTGGATGCCCTTGACCCTGTCTGATTTGTGTCGGTTCCATAGCGTCCCAAAATATAGCTGTTTCTAGAAGAAGATCGACAGATTGAGGGTTGTGGAATCCAGGATCAGCAAGTTTCACATGATCAGGAATTGATAAAGTATTTACATTAATTTTTCTCATTGGTATATATTGTGAAATATTTTCTGTAACAAAAAACTCGGCCCTAATCTGATAATTATTGTGAGTTGATGAGATAGTTGTTGACGCACAAGACATTATATTCGTTTGTGTTAGATTAATTCCCGAGACCGTGTGATGAACATTGTTTTCTCGCAAACGCAATTTGTGACATAATCGTTTCGTCATAAAGTTAGCCATAGAGCCATTATCTAACAGAGCACGCGCTTTAATCAATTGACCTGAATTATCCCTTAGATAAATCTTTGCTGTTGACAATAATTTTTCAGTAATAGTTTTACAACCCTCTACAAAATGAACTTGAGATTGTGTCGATGTCCCCATTACCTCCCCCCTCGTGTCATCTTGTTTGTCGTTTTTTCTTTCTGATTGTTGATTTTATTGAAAATCTCAAATATATTAATACATGTTTAATTTAGTCTCAGGAGATACTGATCTTTCCCTTGTTTTCGCATTTTCGCCTTCATTCCCACTCTTTTGTCGCGTTGCGTACATTACATTTTTCCTGTACTCACAACATCCACACACACTCAAATCCCTTCCCATAGTCAACTTGAACAATCAATATTACTATAAATTTGGTGCTTCCTGCACAAAAACCAAAATTTAAAGTTACTATCGGAAAACTAGTCATTGACAAGTTTTCCACAAAAATCAAGTAGACTTTTCCAAGTCTCGACCAAGAAGAACGCTTCTCGCAAAACGCAGCAGAGGCTTCCAAAAGTCTTACCCCCTAAATCGGCGCAAAGTAAGCAAACTAGTCATGATCACTTCTTAAATTAGAAAGTTAGCGGCCCTACAATTGGTCCAAAAAAGGTTTAGTTTGGTTTTGGTTGTTGGCCTCTTGTCCCGTTAGGTCAAATAGCCATGTACTGATTGTTATAGAACTTTTGTATTCCTTAAATTGAACAGTGTCTAGTGACTTTCTGTATCAGGGTGTCTACAAACCGGGAAATAGCCGGGAAAAAAATGAAATTAATAAATTTTTTTATCAAATCATGTGATATGTAAGGAAACGATTAAACCACCGGTCGGTATATCGTATGCAAATCGTTTACGTGAAATGCATGAAATTGATTGGTTGACACCTTCTGAACGTTTTCAATCTCACTAGGTCTTATTTTGGACAACCAATCAAATTACTAATACACTTTGGCATGCCGAGAAGCCGTACTGTGCACTTTGTTCTACAAGACCTACTAAACCCTTAATCAGCTGAATCCATAAAATGAAATATCAACAATACAAATTGTCAATACTTTTAATCTGTTAAATTGTATTGTACAAGTTTATATTTTATTGAAATGACTTTTATAAATCCATATAAAGTTTTGGAACTTTTAATACGATATGTATAAAGTTAATTAGTTCTAAACTACAACGAGGTTTGAGGTTATGTTCTTATCAAAATTAAAAACAAATGTTAATAACAAAAATTAGTTTGTTTTCGTCATAAAATATATGCAATCATACAACTATTTAGAATTTATAAAATCTATTTTATGTTTACATCGTGTGTTTTTTATTTTTAGATTTGATATTTCGTTTTTCACAATGAGTAAGAGTCAAACGACGTTCCAAATGTCATGGAAAATTAAATTTCCTTGGGTGGAGCAAGATAAAAAACCGTTTTATGCTACCTGCAAAATATGTAAAGGCAAATCATTTTCATTTGAATCTATGGGTCGCAGTGCACTTAAAAGTCACGCAAAAAGTAAAAAGCATAAAGATCTATTGGATGTCGCAAACAAGACAATACCTATTTCAAATTCAATGGTTATAGAATCTTCTCAGGCCAGCTCATCGATTCCATTAAAAAGTCGATTGACACAGCAGACACTTGATTCTGAAGTCACCAAAGAAACGATCACTGAAGCAGAAATTTTGTGGTGCATTGAAACGGTTATGAATCATAAATCTTTGCGTTGTGCAGAAAGTAATTCTGCTCTCTTTCAGCGAATGTTCCCGGACAGTAACATTGCGAAAAATATTAAATTGCATAAGGACAAAGTCGCTTATAGTATTGTTTTTGGTATAGCTCCATATTACCAAAAGAATTTAATAGACGAACTGAAAAATATCGATTTCATCGTTGTCGGATTTGACGAGTCATTGAATAAAATTGCTCAAAAAAACCAAATGGATTTAAATATTCGTTACTGGGATAATGAAAAAAATCAAATTTGCGCTCGGTACTTAACATCGGTTTTTCTTCACCATGCTACAGCTGAAGATCTTCTTAACGGTCTCAAAGATGGGTTAGGAAAAATTGGTACAGAAAAAATTTTACAAATTTCGATGGATGGACCTCATGTCAATTGGAAAATGATTCGTTTATTTGATTCAAAACTGCGTGGTACTCCTGATTCACCAAAGTTATTGGAACTAGGCTCATGTGGACTTCACAACGTTAACGGAGCTTTTAAAACAGGAATTAAAAAAACAGATTGGGATATAGTTGAATTTTTGAAAGCGTGCTACAATTTATTCAAGCGAGTACCTACGCGTCGTGGAGATTTTATGACAATAACTGGTACCACAGAATTTCCTTTAAAATTTTGTCAAGTACGTTGGACTGAAAATTCAAAAGTTGAAAGACGTGTGGAGAATATTTTGCCAAATTTAATCAAATACGTAAATCACGTAAAATTTTCGAAAAACGAACCGACATGCAATAGTTTTAAAATTGTTGCTGAAGCATTAAAGGATAAACTTTTGTCTGCAAAGCTTGCTTTCTTTCGCTCGTTAGCCGAAGACTTAGAACCATTCTTGATTGAATTTCAATCAGATACTCCATTAGCGCCTTTCTTATTTGATAGTTTGACATCAATTCTAAAAATTTGCATGACCCGTTTTGTAAAAGAAGACGTGATGTCAAACACTTCATTGCAAAAAATTGATGTAATGCAAAAGTCCGACGGCAGATTCGAAAACTTAATGTATACAAAGGATATCGATCTTGGTTATGCAACACGTAGAGTTTTACAAAAATGTAAAGATGTCAGTCCTAAGGATGTACTTCTTTTCAAACAAAATTGCAGAACCTGTCAGCAATTTTTAGTAGCGAAGTTGTTGGAGAAGTCTCCTTTAAAATACCCTCTCACAGAAGCTCTAACATGTTTAAATCCAAGCAAGATCACTTTTTCTGCAACAGAAGCAAAAAAACAATTGCTTGTTGCTTTAAATACACTTGTAGAAGCAAACATTTTGGATTCTAGTGTAATTCAGAAGGCCGATCGAGAATATCAAAATTTACTGATGGATCAGTATTTTATTGAGCGAATGAAACTGTTTTCAAGAAAGGATAATCGGTTAGACGACTTTTGGATGTCAACTCTTGCAAGTCGACCAGAAATGGAATCTGAAAATCTCAAGAAGGTTTTAAAGATTTTTTTACATTGCCGCATAGGAACGCATCTTTAGAAAGGGGATTTTCTGTTAATGGTGAAATTCTTGTTGAAAATTTAAGCGAAAAAACACTTATTGCTCATCGAGTTATTCACGATTCCGTAACGAAATTAGGAGGTCTTCAAAATGTAACAATTACAGAATCACTGCTTCTTTCAATGAGAGGTGCACGTAAAGGATTGGAAGATGCTTTGGATAAGCGTAAGAAAGAAAATATCGAAAAGGAGAAGACTAAAGAAAATAAAAGGAAAAGAGATAACGAGGAAAAGGAATTGAAAAGCAAAAAGGCAAAATTGTTGTCAGAAACTGCAGTTCAAATTTCTAATATTGATGATAAGTTGAGAAAGTTACAAAGATAATAACATTTCTAGTCGAATAGTTTTATCTATAAGCTTTGATTATTTCAAATAATTTTACTCGTCGTTGAAATTAAAATATTAATTTCTTGTTTATGAATTGTTACTTAAATGTTTAAAAGATTCATGAGTATTTAAAATGACTTTAATAATTTAATTCTGTGTAGTTTTAAATAATAAATTATGTTTAAAATCCTATGTATTTCTCAAGTTTTTTAACTATTCTTCGGCAATTAAATAGTAATATATTAAAAGTATAAAATATATTTTTTAATGTTTTTAAAATTGTTTAAAGTTTATTTTTCATGATTATTATTAAATAATTAATAATTGATTAAAATTAAAGACAGTATCTACTTTATAATATAATGTAATAAGAAGAATCTTCAATTTCTTAAAACCGGGAAAAAACCGGGAAATAGCCGGGAATTTGAAATGGGAAATTTTGTAGACACCCTGTGTATGTATTTTAAGCATATATGGAAATGCTTTAATTTTGTATAGCTTGAACTGATATATATCTAGAAGCCTTGTGTATTAGCCTTTAGCATGCATGAAATTGCAATATAGTGACATTCTATACTTGCTTTAAGCGTGTATGGAGATACTTTAATTTTTGTATCATTTGAACTGGTATGTATTTAGAAGCCTTGTGTTTTTGCCTTTAGCATGCGTGAGATTGCATTCTCCTTTTTTTTTAAACATCCTCATTATAACAGGGAATTCTGTGGCCGTTTTTGCTAATTTCATTTTAAGCTACTTCATTTCCGCGGATGCCTCTATGATCAGGAATCCACACGAATTGGATATCCCCTAGATTTGCATCTTTGAACTGGTCTATCAATTTAACAATCTCAAGTATGTCCAAATGGGTTTTATACTTCCCTATAATTGGGTTAGATAGATCTTTAATTGCCTGCCTAGAGTCTGTGACAATGATGATATCCCTTATTTTCGACAGGATTGCAAATTGTAAAGCTTCCCGAATTGCTAATCTTTCCAGTGATAAAATTGAATGAAAGGAGGAGACCCTCAGTCCAAAGCGAGTATTAGATTGTGGAATAATGAAAGATATTGCCGCTCTAAGTGTTACTGGGTTGAATGAGGCATCCGTGTAGATATAACTACGTGCAGGGGGTATATATCAAGAACAAGTTCTTGAAATTCTTCCTCAGGGTAATTTGAATCTTTTATTATGATGCCCTTATTGACATCAACTGACTGTTTAGATAGGATCTGTTGCCAAGATAGGTCAAAGTATGATGGCCGCGCTGTTGGGTGGATCATGTCCCTTATTGGGATCGGTTAAACTGCAATACGCCATCTGGTGGGGACACATTCTCTCCCTCCATTTTCTTTCTTTCTCTCTCTTCAATTAATAGGTTAGAAAGAGTAGAAAAAACAAAATGGAGGGAGAGAATGGGTCAAAGTTACTAGATTGTTACTAGACCACCGTTCCCAATACCTCTTGTAGTTTGAAAAGAAGAGATAATGCCCAATTTATCTACCAGTAGTTTCTTAATAAAATTTGGACTATCATTAACAAACTGGTTGAGTTTATGGAGCGTAGGATTTCTTGACCATCGGGATAACCTCAATGTGGATTGTTGCACTCGTTCGGCTCTAGTCAACGCGGGGTGGACTAATCCTGATTCAGATAATAAGATGGTTATCGGAACAGATGACATAACGCCCAGAGCTATTCTAAGGGAAATAAAAAAAACCCTATCCAGACCCGCTAAGCGTGTGGGACTGTCCCTCCAGGCCAGTGACATACCCCAATAAGACAGGGCCTCCGTGAAGCCCTTACAGATCACCAATAATGAGGTGGGTGAGGGACCCCAAGACACTCTGGCCATGGTCCGACTAACTCAGTTAGCTCTTGATATTCTTTGCGTGATATAATTAATATGTTGATTCCACAGCAATTTTTGATCTAGATATACCCCCAAATATTTTATTGATTTAAGACCGTAAATTGTTTGGTCAGCCAGATCAATTGACAAATTCTGTTGATTAATTTTGTTGGATCTGGAGAAAACTATAAATTGGGTTTTAGGGATAGATATTTCCAGACCAAACTTCTGAAGCCAATCAGAGACTCGTTGATAGGCGTCAGCAACGATTGCCTTGGAAGTCTCAATACAAGGTGATGAGGCATAGAGTAGAATGTCATCTGCATACATTACCACTCCTGTTTCTCGTGTAAGTTGATCCCTTATTGATCTAAGAGCTAGACTGAATAAGAAAGGCGATAATACACCACCCTGAGGTACTCCCACACCCGAAGTAAAAGGTTGTTGTTGGTTGATTGAGAAATATAAATATCTTTCGGATATCATGAAACTGACAAAATTGATCAATCGAGATGGAATACCTAAGTTAATAAGTTCTTGGATTATCGTATCTGGAAGAATGGCATTAAATGCGCCTTTAATATCCAGAGCCAAGGCCGCTACTGACTCATTCCTCGAAAAAGATCCATAAACATCCCTGACGAAAAAGGAGACTGCATCTAATACAGATCTCCCTCTGCGAAAGCCAAACTGAAACTCTGGCAACCAGTCTACAGTTTCCGACAAAAATTCCAGTCTCAAATGGACCATCCTTTCAAATAACTTAGATAAGCAGGAAGTCAGTGAGATTGGGCGATAACCACCCCCTCCCTTTGGTATGAATCTGACTAAAGTTCTTCTCCACGAGTCTGGGTAGTCACCTGCAAAAAACATATCGTTGTAATTGTGCAGAATTTCAAGCAATAGATCGTCCGGAAATTTACGAAGAATGTCATAAGAAATCGAATCTCACCCAGGTGCAGAGTTGGCATTAGAGGAATCTAGGGCTGCTTTGAATTCAATCATAGAAAATGGTTTGTTTAAAATATGATTTCCATCATAAACGGGTAATAATGTGTGAGTCCTCGGGGGGATGTCCATTCTAATCAGATTATCATTAAGTTTAGTTAGTTCTGGGTCATCTTCCGATGTATAAATACTGCTGACCTTTGCTCCCGTTCTGAAAATCATGCCCTTCACCGTTCTCCAGATGTTGGATAGTCCCTTCATAAAGTTCAATTCATCACAGAATTTTTTAAAAGCTTTAAAAGCTTTGTAGTCCTTCCGTTTATAAAACTTTTCAAAGTGGCGGAAACAAATTTTTTTCTTTATAGAAACATGTTATATGAGATCCTGATCAATTGTCCGCATGTATGTATGTGTGTGTGGATCTCTTTTTTGTTTAGAAGATAACTTTAACAGGTTTTAATGGATTTAGATAAAATTTGGTAGGCTCATTTATCATATTAATATCTCAAATCTGACCAAAGGATTTTGAAAATTACCCCAAAAGAAAAATTTTATCGTCTTTTTTCCAAAAATTTTTTTTTATCGAAAAAAATTTTGAATAGAAAAATTTAAGGTTATATATAATAAAATCGTATTCCTTACGTCAAGACGAATCGATAGATATATATAAAGTATACATTTGAGGTAAATTTAAAGAATTAATGAAAGTTAAAAAATCAAAAATTCACAATTTGGCAATAAAATTTTGCTTTCTCCACGAAGAAGCAAATTTTTTTGCTGGTCGTAAAGAGGAAGCAAAATGTTCATGTAATAAACATCTGAATTTATAACTTGTTTTAATTCTGTTCGCTGTTCTTTTATATATAACCAGATTTTCAATTGTTTGACTATTTAGATATGATTTTAAAGCCTCCCTTCTTGTTTTTATTAAATTGTCGCAGTCTTTGTTTTACCAAAGTGGTTGAGCTTTACGTCTACCAGGATTACCATTTGGATGGAGCGCACCACAGTCTAACAGGACATCATGTATGGTTTGAATCAGTTCATCAAAACGGCTGCTTGGTGTTGAATTCGCGGATCCTTGTCCGGACTCGGATATCACAGTTTCCATACTTTGAGCAAATCGATTCCAATCTACGCTACGATTATTGAGTCTAGTGGAATCAGATTTTATGATATCTGCTCTCAAAGCAAGATTTATCAAAACCGGGAGATGATCTGAACCAAAAGCATCTTCGGTAACTTGAAAAGTCGCGGAGCCTATCATCGCTACTGGGATCATGATTAGATCTAGGTTATTCGAACTGTCCCCTGCCTAGGAACATAAGTAGGGATCTTATCATTAAGAGGAATGTATCCTTTTGTTTCCATTGCCTGAGACAACCTATTGCCTATAAGATTAGAACTAAATGATCCCCAATTGGGAGAATGAGCATTGAAATCCCCACAGAGAATTCTTTTATTTTGGGTAACACTAGGTGAATAGAGTTCTTCCCAAGACGTGACGTCAGGCTGAGATTCATTTGGGGAATATATAGCCATTATTTCAAAGATTCCCTGTAAAGTATGTATTTTTATTCCTAAGTAGCCTGTGCCAAATAGCTTACCTGCATCTGTCATTTTTATATCTAAGGCCAAGTTTCAGTAACGCATAAAATTTGAGGATTTAATCGAGAAACTCTCAATTCCAATTCCGCCTTTTTGTTCACAATGCTATGTGAATTCCAGTTGATTTTTTTCAAGGCATTGAAATTTTTGTTAGAGCTTCATTGCTCTTCTATATTATGATTGTTATACATGTTCTGGACAACAAAAACCAGAAAAAAGGAAACAAAATAAAAAACAAAAAAAAACGGATTTTATTCAATGGTTATTCCCGTAATGATGATCCTACTCAATCAAGGAGTAAAAATAGAGAATATATTGCTTGGGTCATGCTGCTTCACCAGGATCGGCTAGACCTTAAATTGTTAAACTTTCCTATAATAAAATAAAACAAACCAATAACATTAACATCTAAACTATAAAAATAAGGAGTGAGTAATAGGCTATCAGCTGCTTTCCCTAATGAGAGAAACTGTAGCCACTCCTGTAATGGTTCATTCTGCGACCTTGATAGGTACACAGAATGAGTAGGATGGGAACAGACAAGTGCTGTCTCTATGTAAACACATAGAGGCGACTGTATGTCCCAAACCTTGTTTCATTTATCCCCTTCCCTTATCTTAACTTAAGACTGGCAAATGATTAATACGACAAAACAAATAGATATGTGATCAAAGGTACCCCTAATTAGTGGATTTTATTCTTTTTGCTGTTCTATTAGAGTCCTCCGGTGAACTTGTGGAGTTAGGTCGCTCTGAATAAATTGTTGAGATGTTTATATTAGACTCGGAATTGTGCGAATTTTTATCAACAGTTGTATTAGGTGGCGGGTAATTAATTCCAATTCAAGTGTGTTGAGTTGGTATAAACATCGTTGATCCGGTCGCATGACTTATAGAGGCTGTTTTGTTTGATAAAAGAAAAGATTCAATGCTTGTTTGAGTTAAGCTTTTTGAAAGAACAGTGTTGACAAGCAAAGTATTGTTAATTGATGTATTTTCTTCCGTCAATTGGATTTTGTCTCTATCTAAATGCAAAGATTTTATTGATTGCATAGAAGAATCGAAGTGGGTTTTTGTATTGGAAGAATGTTGTGCTTCAGGAGTCGCATTTTTATTCTTTTTATTATTATGTTGTTGTTGTTCCTCATCATTATTCCGAACGGAGTCATTGCTCACGGGGGCTGCTTTATCCGGTTTATCTAGTTTATTATTATGTTTATAATAGATTTTTTCCGCGTCTTGGTAACCTATTCCCATTTCCGCTCTAATGTTTCTGATCTCTTGTTCCCTAATATAAATTGGACAAGTGGTGGAGGAAGACGGGTGAGCTCCGCCACAATTACAGCATTTAGAATTTCTGAGTCCATTTTCACATTCCTCGGCTTCATGTCTTTCCCCACAGAATTCACATCTAAAGCCAGACCTACACCGTGCTTTTACGTGTCTATAACGTTGGCACTTAAAACAGCGAATGGGTCTAGGGACTAATGGGTGCAATGTCATTTCGAAAGAAGAAACAAGAATGTTTGGTGGAGGTGCCGGTAAAATGAATGTGAGCTCTAACGCCTCTAAAATATGATTGTCGAATGTTATTCTGCGCTTAACTGTTGACAGGAATTCTTTATCCTTAGGTGTCAATCTTTCTACAAAGTTCAATACTGAAACCGAAATATCAATATCCTTGACAAGACATTTGGAAAATTTGAGGGAATTTGGAATGAAGACTCGATAGTTCCTTGCTGCTATCTTTTTAGAAGTGATTAGTGCATTTGCATCATTAATTTTATCGGATGTGATTTTTACCCTATTTAAACCATTGCGTTGGATTAATACAACCTTCTATAATTTCTTGAACCAAGTCCGCAATAGCAATGGGATTTAATTTCCCTATATTTAGAGATTGATTTTAACTCTCCATAATTATTATATATGGGGGAGGTGCTTTTGGATGAAAGATTGGGGGGAGAAGGTAGAACAGGATTATTCCAAATGAGAAATTCATTAGTGTATTCTCTTTGAACTTCTTGTGTATTAATTTCAGAATTAGTATTATGGTTATTTATTGCAAAGGCCATGTTTAATGAAGAGTTGAGACGCACGTGTCCTAATGAGGTGGTAAGTCTGATGTCAGAAGAGAAAATTGACAGCGACTCAATAGAATTTGAATTGTCGCTTTGGTTATCGTAATCTTTATGTGATCGAGATGGTTGTATAGAGGAAATTAAATTTGTTTCATTACCTCCCAAATTAGACAATACTTTCTCTAGTTCATGCTGATAATCCCTATTTTGTTCTAGAAAATATTTACGTGCCTGTCGCGTTCCCATGTATTATTAAATTATGTAGAAATTTTGAAAGATTTTAGAATAGAAATAGTAATTAGTTAGATTGAATGAATAAAATAAAACAAAAATAAATAAAAAGAAAACAGAAGAAAGAGAAAAAAAAGAAAAAGAAACGGACTAAGTAGGATCATCAAATTGATTCAATTTTGTACAAAAAACATCTTCACGTTACAACGAAATATGTGAGTATAGGCGTTCCGTTCTGTGTATCTACGTATATTGCAAAACGACTACACTGTTTACATCAACACTCGGTTTCAAATTCAATACTTAGAATCATCTATCTCAATTCGACTTCTCTCTCTCTTCCTCCCTCTCTCGTATTGTTCCAGTCGTTAGATCACCTCGAAAGGGAAAATCAAAAAGAAAAGCAAGCCGACAAAATAAAATATACAAATCAAAGCAGAAAAGGAAGAAAGGAGAAAAAGAGGAAAAATTTAATTTAATTTTAATTTATGAGAAATTAAAAATTTAAAATATTATAAAAATTAAGACTTTAAGTCTAAATATCTGCTTCTGATATTACAACTTTACATTTCCATTTATTTCAGAGTTTTTAATTTTATTTAGAAATCAATAATTAGGTATTTAAATAGAAAGGAATGACTTATTAAGTCTTACTGTATTGAAATTCAGGTGTACGAAAAGCCATGCGTCAAGGTCAAACAGTTCATATCTATAGATGTATACATACTTGTTTGATGTTATATTATATTTAATTATACCGCTTCAATTTCACCCAATCTTAGCTTTATCGACAAATAAATGGATTTCCTTCTTCTCCTTATTTCAATTAAAATATCCAATATTTCATATGTACTGCTGCTCTGAACACTTTGAATTTGAATCTTATCCTCTCATCCCTCTCACTATGTTCTCTTCTCACTTGATAACTGAACTTTATTTATTTAATATTCATTGTAAGACACTTTGTATTGTAAATTTGTTTAACTTTTATTTAATCTTGTTATTTGATTTTCTTGATCTTCCTTTGCTCGCTAAAAAGCTGAAAAATGCGTGTCTGCCAGGAAATAGAATATGACATTGAAAGAAGAGATGTTTTAAACTCTTCATTTCTACCCACGTAAACAATCCGGATTAATAGCCCACCCCATCTGACAGAAATGATCCCCTCTGCGCAGATATTTGAGGATCTCAATCTGGTAACAATATTGATAAACCTTCTGGGGGCTTCGACTTCCCGGACCTAAGAACGGATATACTTTATGTTAATATTTTCAAAGTATTTAATTGTACAGTTGGCATACTAAGATTTTAAATCACGATTCAGTAGGTCACTACAGTCACATGTCGGTATCCCCGAGAACCGATCCATTTCCAACGACAAGGAAAGTTTTTCGACCCTGCCTGCCTCTTTATTCCCCTGAATACCACTATGTCCCAGGACCCACACAAATGCCTCTCACGGGCAAAGAAGACACAAAATGTCTGATCCTAAGAGTGAAAGGATTGACGCACACTCACAGATAATCAAAGTAACCCACCTTTCTGGGCAAACAATTCCTAAAAATCTCCCTGATGCGGCAAGAGGAATCTAAAAGGAGGAAGGAAGGAAATTAGTTTAAGGAAGAAAGAAATTAGTAGTTTAAGGAAATTAAATTTCCTTCCCTTTCTACTCTTAGAATTCTCATATAGCAGTTGCAATCTGGGGATAACAGGGTTGCGTTTCCAGGAGTAGCATCATAACAAGAACCTATCTTCCAATTTCGATCTACGAAGACTCAAAGTGGGTTCGTCACACTCTGCTAGTAGAATACTTCTCGGGGTCGACCTCATGAAACCCAAAACCACCCTTAAACCTTTATTCTGTACCCTAATATCTAAAATTTGTAGATTAGTTTTACTAGAGTTCATAAAAATTTGAGCACTTTACTCGAGGTGCGCCCTAACTAAACCTTCATAGGCCAGGAGAAGCAAGGAACTGTGGGCACCCAAGAAACTTTAGCTAAGGCCTTCAGTACATTTACTGTTCTTGAGTCCTTGGCTGCCACATACTTAATGTGTGGAAGCCATGATAACTTCCTGTCCTGCAAAATACTCAGATATAACATAGAATTCTCTGTACGGATTTGCTCGTTACCAATGATAAGACTAATGTTTCTATTATCAAGTTTCGTCCTTAAAAAGAAGGCCAAGTGACATTTTGAAACCATGATCGAAAGGTTAAGTGCTTCTCAGCAGCTTCAGAGCATCATTGATCGAAGAAGACCTAACATATACTAAAAGGTCATTTACATATACATTTTCGCCTTTACCCCTTCCGGATGTTGAATGAAACACTTTCTAAGATATAAATTAAATCAGACCGGCGAATACACTCCGCCTTGTGGTACTCCCACTCCACAAGTCTCCGCCTTTTTGAAATCGGGGTAAAAATACAGATTTCTTTTCTTTTTTCCTTAAAATTTCTAATTTCGCGCAAAACAAAGCTGGGTAAAACGTTATTATAAGCGCCCTTGATGTCAATTGCTAGGGCCGTGGTGCGGGGCGGGGATCCAATCCTACGACTCAGCCAGAAACTTCATTCTTCGGTGAACTACTCTTTCGAAGAGTTTGGAAAGTGAGGAGGTGAGAGATATTGAACAGAAGCCCTTTTTTCCAGGCTAAGGAATGAATAGTACTTTTTCTCAAAATCACATATCGCTGTTTTAAAATCCAATTCAGAGAAAGGGGAGTTAAACTGTGTAAATACCCCATCGTCTAACTCATTTAAAAATGGAGTGTCAACCACTTGTACATTGGAATTAATCAGGTCAGATCTTAATTTACGAAAAGTTTCAGAATTTTGATCGTTACAGATCCCAGAGCGCGTAGGGAGATTCTAATTGAGAAAAGAGCGAACAGTTTTACAAACATTGCTCAATCCAGATGTTGATTGATCTCGTTGCAGAATTTTGTAAACGACTCTTTTTTCTTCCCTCTAAAAAAAACCACTTCCACATTCTGCCTCCGAGTAACCACAGCTTCACATTCGACATCCCACCAAAGCGGCTCAACAAGTCTCGATATGAAATCATCATAGACTGCCTCTGTTCCCACATCTGAATCAAGTGATACCTCCAAGGACGATGCAAGGAGTGATAGCTATTGAAACATGCTCAAGCAGCTACCTTTGAGAAACCAGTGTCTGGTGTGAAATTTCGATCTTTTTTATTTGACCTTATTAATTACGATATAATTAGTGGTTGTGTCCCAAATGGCACGTATCTAATTTCTGCAATAGCAAAACAGTTTTCAACAGTGTTGTTTGAAACAAAAACAAAGGCGGGATTTCTATTACGCAAAGTAATAGATGAAATTGATACGATTTTAAAAGGCATAAAATCTCTTCATCAAATTGGCAAATTAACTCATCCTTTTACGGAAAGAATATACTGGAAGTCTTCAGAGTGGGAAAACTGGACATTATTTTATAGTGCTCCAATATTTTTAAAAGTTTTACCTCGAGAATTTTTCTTGCACTGGATTCTTTTTGTCGAAGCTGTGTACCTTTTGTTACAAAATAAAATAAAAACTTCTGAAGTTGAATTAGCAGATGAGTTATTACATAAATTTGTAGCAGATACCGAAAGATTATACTCAAAATGGGCCATGACATTTAATGTCCATTAATTATTCCACTTTGTAAAAAAAGTTGATGAGTAGGGACCATTACGTGATCATAACGCGTACGCTTATCAGAATCAGAAAACTATTAAAAGCGACTCATTGTGCTAATAGTGTCAAAAATATATTACTTGTAGTACATTTTGTGTTCATTAGGAACATGAACACTTTCTACCGTCTAGAGATTGCTCATTTTCAAAATTTAGAATTTTCAATTTAATACGTTTTTAAATTCGCAAATAGATGCCGTTTAAAGACATCTAAAACTTTGTTAGAATATTCTATAATAATTCTGTTCTATTTGATAGAAAAAAGATCCAAAATAGGTCAATCGGAAACTGAAATTTATTTGGAAAATTTATGAAAAATTCCCATAAAATTCATAAAAGTTGTCACGAAAACATTTTAACGTGGGATACTCAATGAAATTAACTAGAATTAACCAGAACATCTCGTAGGAACTTGGTTTACTTTATAAAACTTTATTCTGCTCAATTCCCGGGAATTTCTCGGGAAAAAAATTCCCGGGAATTTCCCGAAAAATTCTCGGAACTTTTCCCGGGAATATTTTCACGTGGGTTAACTAATTATTGATCGATTAATCTCGAGAGGAAACCTTTACTAAATTTATTAAAAGTCTTAGAAAATACATAAACATCCCATAGGAGTAAGCTTAAGTATAAGCAACCTATTAGGAACGGAATCTGGATTACAACTAACAGTGGCGGATCCAGAACTTACTCCAGGGGGGGTCATCCATAGATGATCGACGTCCGATGACCACCTTTGTGTGACCTTTTTTTTTAATATAAATATTTTGCTCCAGGGGGGGTCATGACCCCTTGACCTCCCCTGGATCCGCCACTGAGAACTAATCTAGTTGAGTGGAGATCTACGTCTCTACTCTAAGTTCTTAAAAGTCTTCTTTGCGCATGTCTCACTACAGTCTGCTGTCCTACTAAAAATTTACACGTGTAATTACACGTGTATTTATATGTATCTTTACACGTATCGATTTGGGCATGGATATACACGTGGATGTACACGTGTAAAGGGGCATTATTACTTTTAAAGATATTTTTCCAGACTCTATACGTGGAGATACACATGTATTCGGGACTTAATTTTTTAACAGAGATTTCCACTCTTCCTCCACGTGTATATACATGTGGTTTCAAGACTTAATTTTTTTTAAAGATATTTTAACAGATTCTCAACGAAGAGATACACGTGTATTCGGGAATTAATTTTTTAACATATATTTGGACCAAACCATACCATGTGTATTCTGGACTTAATTTATTTTCAAAAATATTTTGACGATTTCTAACGATTAAATTAATCCACGTAAACAAATTATGTTGCCTCTAATTTGCTGTAAACAACTACGATATTTTTTTAATTCCAAAGGCATATGCGTCCCAATTTTTCAGCCTAGAAAGAAATTTACGGTACGTTGAAAACTGTAACTGTAGTTCACCAATATATCGTGGATTTTTATGCAAAACACTGTGGGCCAGAAAGCATCCAAAAGCTGTCATAATTCAAGATTTTAACGAATGCATATAAAACTTAGCATTTAAGGATCTTCGGGGTCACTGATTTCGAATATGAGGTCAGAATTTCGAAATTCAATATAGCGGATGAAATTTCAAAAAAAATTTAAAATAATTATAAAACTCTATGTCTGTGGGCTTTCGGGGTTGCTGGTTACAAATCTCAGGTCAGATTCTCGAAACTTAAAATGGCAGATCCAATATAGTGGATAAAATTTAAAAAACCCTTTAAAGAATCATGAAACTTGATGTCTTGTGGTTTTCGTGGTCGTTAATTACAAGTCTGAGGTTTAAATATATCACTTTTTTCTTCAAATTTGAGATTCGGACGACCAGGACGAGGAATGGAATTTATTTTTTCTGGTTGATTATTCGTAATCAGTTTAGGTATAATAAAACTAGAATTTAACCATTCAGCATGTTTTAATTGAAATCTAGATTTAATTCTTTTTTCAGCGTTAAATTTAGAATTTCGTTTATTTCTTTGTGAATAAATTACAGTTCTAAGACGGGTTAAATATTTTTTGTCCATATTGATAATATCAATATGTCTCTTTTGCATTATATAATATACGACTTAATCAACATTTTTTAATTCTTCAAATTTCTCAAGAATTTCCCGTTTACTAAATTCTTACATTTTTTCTACATTTACAATCATCTTTTAACTAAATAACAAAAAGCAGTTAAATAAATGTAAGAGATTTCACCATAAAACTAAACACAAAACAAAATTCTTCTTTAAATTATAAATAATAAAATTAAAAATTGGATAATTTCTATATAATTTAAAATGTGCTTCCGTAACACTTTTATTAACTGTTTAAACAGAGAATGTACAATAAAATGTGATGTTTCTATGTGCGGGGAGAAATAGAAACAAAAGAAGGATAGATTTAAAACAAAAAAGCATCGATGTGTTGTAAACCAAAATATGTCTTTGTAAAAAATGATTTTCAAAATAAAAATTTTTACCTTATTTTGTATCTAGCTCCACTAAATTAAAAAATGGTCAAATTTAATTAAGAAGAGATTCCACGCTTAGTGAGCATTATATCTTGTGGAAGTAAGGAGAACTAACAAATAATAGCAAGAGCATTACAAAAAAATAAACATTTTTCGATGTTAAATGTGCATTATTTTTTACAATGTAGAGTAATTTTAATTTAATATTATTATTTTTTAAAATAATACGTATCATTTAAAAGAAATAAAATTTAAAAGTCCGACAATTAATCACTTATAAAAAATAAATTAATATTTAAGAGGACAGTGTCCTTTAAATTTTGGAATGAAATTTTCTGACAAACATACAATCACCGTAATAATCTTTGACGAATAACTGTAATATTTTACAAAACGCTACATAAAATAATGTGGATTCAGGTTATTAGATTGAAAATTCTAAAGTCGACTTTTGGCCGCTTTTGTATGCGTTTTGGCCCACTGTGCAATATAATAGTAGATTTTACGGCTCATCGTAACCAAGTTGAAGCTGATATCGCAAATTCGCGTCTCAAAATAAAACGACGTTACCAGATTGATGCTGATATTCCGATTCCGTGGCTCAACGCATTCCAATAGACGCCAACAATCGTGGTTAGAAATCAACTTCCGCAATTTACTTGTTACGCCCATATAATTTTTGATCTTTGTAAAAATACTGTGTAAATAAATAATTTGTTACTGTTTTATAATTATCCTTGTTATTATTTTTATTTTTGTTTTTGAATCAACGAACCCTGGCTCCACGAGGTAAAAATCGATTCTTTAATTATAAACGTTCCAATATTTTCTTGCAGTCAGAATGGATCATACATTTTCTATAACATACATATCACTCTTGTTGCTTGCGAAAATTTTATTTCTACTAAATTTTTTAAAGTGTACATTTGGCAAAGTGTACTTACTTTTTTGTTTCAAATTATTTATCAGGAATAAATTTTTAATTTCAGTAAACAAATTTTTCTAGAAACCTTCGTAATTTAATTCTTTATCAATTTAATAAGGTCATTTTTTAAATAAATAAATGTTTGTTTAAGTATTTCAATCAATAATTGTTTTTTTCAAGTATTTCAATTAAATTTTGTTTATTCACTGAGACAAAAATATTGCATTATAATGATTGTACCAGTAACTATATCTAATGTTATAAATACGAAGTGTTACGTATGAATTTCGTAACTTCTTATTAATAAATTATTAACATTATTAATAATTCATTAATACAATACTTAAAAAAGGGACACAATATGCAACTCAAACAAATAACACTTTATAAAAGTTATAAGAAATGCCTTTAGAATCTCTTAGCGATGTCCAAATAATTATATATTAAATATTAACTTTCAATTAATAACCTGAATTGTAAAGAAGACCTATTTAAAATTCATGATAAAATTGAGAAACTAAGTGAACTAAATTAATTCAAGAAACAAAGGATGACGCAATAAAGATTGCTGCATCCAAAGTATGTCAGTACAAAATGAACTGGAATACTACCCCAATATTGCAAGGTTGCAATAAAAACATTGA